CCCACACACACACGCACACAAATATATATAGATATATTTATGTGCGCATTCCAGGGATCAATTTGAATTGGAAGTCCGCATGCGTTGTCCAGCTGTGGAACGGCGCCTGCCACCCGCCCACTGCATGCATGTGTTTATAAGTAGCTGCAATTTGGATTGCCAGATCGCCTGCTAATCTGTGCAAAAAATATGCGCATATTTCCGTACTCTGAAATTATTGCAAAGTATTGAGCAGTTTTGTGCCATAAGTATATACATATAATATATATTTATATATATATATATATATGTATATTCCATTATTTATAGAATATATGTGTAAATCTCAATTTCAAGGCAAGCGCGCACAAAAACAAAACAAACCCGATGAGAAAACGAATGAAATGAATAAAACAAACGGTGATTACAACAGCGACACCTTCTTTTTGTGCATTTTGCCCCAATACCAAAGTCGAGAATCGACAACAACAACAAAAAAAAAACTGCGCAATAATTGCCAATCTCACAAAGAGAGGGCGAGAGAGAGAGAGCAGCAGGTAACAGTGGGTTAGAAGGGGATAAGAAGTGAAAAGTTTGAGGTTTGTTATTTTTTCTTGCTAAATTCTACTCGTTATGCGATTCACATTTGCCAAATGTTAATGAAACGCTAGCTTCTCTATTCAAGTTGATCACACATTTGTAAATGTATGCATGTATGAGGATTTATGCATATGTGTGTGTAAACAGGTAAGTGAATTATCGGCCAGACTGGATTCTGACAATAAGAGCCTGACAAATGCGGAAAACAGAAACAAAACGAGCAGTGACGAAGTGTTGTATATTTGTGTAAAAATAGCTGAGAATTGTGCGCACACATTGACTTACATACACATGTGTCTATATATATATATATATTTTAGAAGAGATGTATATATATATAGCTATAATAAATATATTTGTGACTCTGAGTGCGCTTCGAATTCCACACATATAAATACATAACTTTGTTGGTATCTAGACTAGAGATGAAACACAAATGAAACTACGAATTGTAAGCACGATACATATAACATATGATCACCTCTCACGACTATCTGAAACCTCAACTTAATTAATTGATTTAAGAAGTGTATCTTTCTTATTTCATTTCTTTATAATGAACATTTCTGATCACTCCTCAAACGTTTCTATTGATTTCCCATATTCTGAAGAAAAAACTATTTGTATCTGGAGAGATCAGTCGGAATTGATCACTCAGCAAAAGTGAATTTAAAGTCGCATTAAGATCCAATTTCGAATTTGTAAAACGCTTATAAAATGTTTCTTAGAAGTATATAAGAACATTTTAGCCATCCCAAGAAGGAACAGAGTATGTTAAGTTCGTGACACGAAAGAGCGCATAAAACTAGTCCATCTCTAATAGACAAATGTATACAAGTATTTAATTGCCATTCCGCGTCGCGTTTTCGTTTATTGTTATTTTTTTTTATATGTGTTTTTGTTGGTTTCTTTTTACTTTGCTGTTTGTTGTTTTGGTTTTTGTGTTTTTAGTCGCGGCGAAAGAAAGAAAAGCCAAAAAGGGCCCACACAGCTGACAGCGCTTGGTGAAAGTCTGCCCCTTACAGATCGCCCCCCAATCCTCTCCTCACCCGCTCATACGGCCTCTTAAGCCATACAGCTGGGACGTGTTTATGTTGTTTCATAATCGAAAAGTTTACATATCTACAATTTGACCACTAGAAGACGTGCAGCTGATTATCGTGCTGACATACGTATATATAGATATATATATTTGTATATGTATATACATAAGCATATGTTTGAATGATTGTTGCATGTGTGTATAGGTAGATGTAAATGTACGTTGGCGGTTAAATGTCTACGTAACAGAATCGTGCTTCTGCTAACTAACAGATGCAGTTGCAGAATGGTTGTTTAGCTTCTCGTGGGAAATATCATGTAATTACTTTTTATGTATGATAGGCATTAAACGACGACTTCAAGCGGAATTAAGACTTATAATCGGATTTTATCTTCAAATGTACTTAAAATAAACTTGCGAAATTACAACAACTTTTTGGGTATTTTACTATTATTAGGAATATTAATTGTGAAGAGGAAACATGTTTTTTTTTTTTAATAATAATTAGCCTTAAATAATTATTATATTTCATCACAAAAATGTGTGTTTGTACATCGACTTCTTTGCGCCACTGTATGCTGTTTGTCAGCTGGTCGACTGCAGACTTGTGGCCTGAAGACTTGTGGTGGGCAAATGCCGTTACTGTTGCTGGCAGAGCAGATGACGCACCTGAGAAAGTAGACCAGTTGCGACAAACGACTGCCAGCGGAGGTCAGTGCAAGAGATAGAGATACAGATACGAGATACAAGATACATGATACGATTGTTTGACAGACAGACTGACAAACAGACAGTCTGCTGTTGGTTGTCGTTTGTCTGTCATTCTGCACTTATTATTGTGAGAGTGCATGAGTGTGTGTGTGTGTGTGTGTACATATGCTGTTAAGGTGCCTTATCTAATCAACAAGTTTCTTGGCTGCCCACCAGATGGCGCGACTGCTGTGCGATTGAGGTGCAACAATTTGTCTGCAATTGCCATTGCCACAGCAACAACAGCAGCAACAACTACAACGAGAACATCAACAACAGCGACAGCAACTGTCCCAAAAATACTTCAGTTTGCGGCGAAAAAAAAAGAGAAGCGGTTTGACAGGTTTTACGCCTTTATAGCCAGGCTGACGGGCCGGCCGGTATGCAGCAGCTAAGCTGTTCCTCCGAGAGAGGCAGAGAGTATGGGCGGAAGGGAGTGGTTTGCTTGGTTGGGAGTTTTGGGAGGGGCAGGAAACATTGTAGCATTGAACATGCACAACAATTTCGTTTTGGACTTTGACTTGTTTGTTTGACTTTTCTGGATACACAGCAACAAAAAAAATACTAGCATAAATTAAAACTAATGAATGGTAGATATTTCGTGAAAGAATAAATAAAAAACGTACTTGAATTAATTACTTTGTACCGTGTTTAAAAATACCAGCTCGAATTTTCCTAAACGGAATTTTCTTTGTAACTTTTTTTATTGTACTTCAGACAATATAAGTACAAATAGAATGGTATTTTTCTGCTTTTTTTTTTGCTGTGTAGTGCAATTTAAGTGGAGTTCGTCGTTGTGTCTGATGTTGGCTGTTGGTTGTTGCCTGTTGTTGTCATGCCAAAAGGGCCTCGCTGAGGCATTTATGCGGCTTTACATTTGCATAGTCGTAATACTTATTTATTTCGGCCAGCTGCTGGCAGGCAACTGGCGACTGGCGAATGAGTCATGCAACTATGTGCAGCATTGCAGCAGGGGAGCATTGGCCCAATGCTGCTGCATTCAATAAAATTTACATATGCTGTTTGCTTGCATGCAAAAAAAAAACAACTAGAAATGAATAAAAAAAAAGCGTAGAATGCCAAAGCAGAGTGCCAGAAAACTTTGGTCATATGCAAAAACAAACAAACCAAACAGAAGAAAAAAAATTGGTAATTTATGTTATCGTTGATCGATAGGCAATGAGAGCGCCCGCATGTTGACCAATTGAATCAAATGTTAACAAGCTGGCAACGTTCACACAGCGACAGAATCTAGGGCGCAATGTTTGTGTTGTTTGTGTGTGTGAAATGTGCATCACAGCTGTGGCCCTGTTGGCGGAAGCATGCAGATTGAAAGTAATCAAATAAACGTAACGAGGTGGAGACACAGAGAGAGAGAGAGAGAGAGAGATAGAGAGGGATAGAACGGGGCGTGAGAGCGGAAGTGCGTAAATCAAGTGGAAAACAAACGAGAAGCGAAAACAAGCTCACACTCACACACACAGAAAGGTGGCAACTCCACGGGGCAGACAAGGAGATGACCTCAATTTGCATTTAATCGCACAAAGTGTTCCATTCAGCGCATAAATCGCAGCCAATTTGGCAATTATTTGCCATTTATTGCCAAGGACAACAACAACAACTACAAAAGACGTCTTCTTCAATTTTGAATTGCTTTGCATGCCTTCCATGCCTGTCCAAAATAGAAACGACAAAATAATTTCGATTTCGATTTCGAGCCCAAAAGTGACGGCCACCAATTGAAAGTTTGACTGCGATTTGCATTTCCAAATTGGTGTTTCTCAACACATCAAATCGGAGAAATGAAATCGCTTTCGCTTTCGCTGCACGCCCGCATGCTACCCCTCTCCCCACCCCTACCCAACGGTTCCCCTGACAGGTCTTAATCGTTGGTGAGGTTTGGGGTCGGTCAATGCTTTCGAACTCAAATTATCGGACAATCAACTGCGCTCAAAGATTGCAGCTTGCTTATCGTTGGGTGCAGTCCACATGGAAACATTCGTTTCCATCATTAAGTGATATTAGCGAGCAGAGGTTCAATTAAAAAGCAGAATTGCAAGAGCAGCTACCTCAAACTTAATCATACACTCTGCAGAGTGTAGCGAGTGAGTGGCAACTAGTGAGCAATAGCGAGTATAGCAACGAGTGATCAGTGCCTAGTGAGTAGCAGCGAGTAGCAACGTGAAAGTAAAGTGAATAACACACCGAATAGGCAGGTTATAAACTAAGAATGTTCTTATTTTAGTCATTGCAGCTTTAGCGAGTAACAAGGAAACGTTGTTTAATTCATTTAAGCAAGAGACAAGAGAAACAGCTAGTAACGTGTAGCTGATCACCTGAGAGCAGCTCATACTCATTTCAGTGAGAAGAGTGTAACGATTAGCGCAAAGAAGTAACGAGTAGAAGATTCGACCTGTTACTCGTCTCTAGCTTTAGACGTGCTAATCGCACTTAAATTGAAAAAGTAACGTGTAGCGATTAGATTGTCTCCAGGTATTTCAAGCTGAGTCGAGCAACGAGCAGCGAGCAGCGATTGCTGACTCAAGGAGCCGTTACAACAAAAGAGGGTTATTTATGAAGCTGGTAGCTTATAGTGAATAATGAAAATTAGGCAGTTACAGTTACTTACAGTACGCCCGAACAGCGTGTGCAGACGAACGAGCCGATCGTCATGTTGACGTAGGTGGGCCCCTTTTGGTTGCAATCGAAGCATTGCCGATTGCCTGCCCCGCTGTTCACCAGTTCCCGCAGTGCCAGCAGGTATTTGTCATCCTGTTTTTTGCGCACGGCCATATTGTTGTAGTTGTTGCTGTTTCGATTGTTGTTGTTGCTGTTGTTGTTTGCTTTGTTTCCTGCTTCCGGCTGCGTGACTGAGTCTGAGTCGGAGCTGGTCTCACTGTCCCGCCGGCACCCGTTGCAGTCGTCCTCCAGCCACTCCGTGTCCGGCGATTGATGATAGATGTCAGCGGCGTGGGGGGCAGTGCTGCTGCTGCTGCTGCTGTAAACGTATGCGAACTGAATTTTGCCTGCTTTTCTACACACACACACACCAACACAAACCGAATAATATAATAACAGTTATGCGTGTGTTTGTTTGTTTGTTTTTTTACGCAACGCTTGACCTTTCTTCAGCTGAGCGAAAATGACTTCAAAACAAATGCTGCCGCTGCTGCTGCCGACGCCGATGCTGCCCTTTATGTATGTGTGTGCGTGCTTGTGTGTGTGTGAGTAAGTAATAATTTAGACAGCAGACATATTTTTTTTGCTCGATTATTATTGTTTACGTTTTTACACACTGCACTCTTTTCTATTCTATTCTTCTGGTTTTCGTTTGCCTTTTTTACATTAATTGAATTTTATTTACTGCTGCTGCGCTCAATTTGCCCACAAACACTGAGAATCAATCACACACGCTGCGCCTCTCGTCTTGGTTTCGCTTATTTGCTGGCTGTTATTAACAGAATTAAGCACACAACGAAAAAATTCTCTTTCAATAACAAACTGTAGCAAGAGACGCCCGTCCGAACAACAACCGAACGTCGCAAACTTGAAAATGGAACTGACTACCAGCGCTGTGTGACCGCATTGGCTTAGCCTGCAAATGCTGCGATGTGTTAGGGTGACCAGGCGTGCAAAACATGTTAAACACGAGTGGGCAGCGCTAAAATTTAAATTTCAACTACAAGTTGTACAATATTTATTTATATTCAGATACTGTAACTATTACTCTTCTAGAGGCTTTCGCGCATTGCCTTTGTTTGCAAATTTGCGTTTCTTGAATGTGGCGGGCGCACTGCTGCCGCCAGCTGCTTCATTCAAGCCTGTTATTGTTTTCTCCTTAAAGCGTTTTACAGGTGGTTCGGATTCGTAGACAGAGGTGACAACAGGAGCTGTGGCACAATAATCAGTGTTGGGCAACTCCCAATCAATAGCAGCTGGTGGAGGTCTGCAAACAAATATTAATTGAATTAAATACAAGAGATTAACTAGAAAAAAATCGAAATATTGTATTAGTTATATTTATTTACCTAGTTTCCACCACCTGCCATTGTCCAATCTCCTGTGTGGCCGCTTCCTCCTCGGTCTTGAATCCCTGCCTCTTCTCCTCCTTTAGCTTCTTCTCCTTGGCATTTTCGGGCTTGCGATAGATGCGAGCGTGTTTCTCCCGATTGAATCGCGCCACTTCCTCATCCGCATTGGCGCGAAAACGCAACGCCTCCTCTGCCTGCGTAAGCTCCTGCTGATTGATAGCTAATTGATTGATGCGCTCGTATTCCTCATAGGAGAGGAAACCCTCCTTGGGCGGAGTCCAAACGGATTCGTTAGTCTTCACATTCCAGTAATAGGTGTGTCCCTCATCCGATTTGCCCTCGACCCACAGCGAGGCATCTGGCACCGTTTCCGTTTGCACTTTGGTCACATTTACTCGCCGGTTATCCCCTTGCTCCTCCTCCTCATCGTCGGAATCGCCCACCAAGCGCATGGGATCAATTTGTCGTTGTCTACCAGGTACACCGGATCTACCGCCACTGGTGGATGTAGCAGTGGAAGCTGTTGATGTGGCACTGAGTACTGTGTTAATGGAACGGGCTGTCATATCGCCATGATAGCCGTGGATATCCTGGGCATACGATTTCATTGCGGCCGCCTCCATTTTCCGGATCTCGTTGTCCATCTTCTGTTTCTCGCGTTCCGCCTTGTCGCTGTTGCGACTGATTTCTGTGATGCGCTTGGACACATTCAGCTTGTGTTTCTTGCCACTCTCGTGGAATGCAATGCTCTAAAAATATCAGAATTAATCAAAATTTTAAGATTCACCAAATTTTACTTTGTTTACTTACCGCTTTGTTGTCGCTCAGCCAACATTTGCAGAAGTCGCAGTATTTTCGTTCATTCGATTTCCAGTACTCCGTCCTGTAAAGCCAATTGTTGGTAATAAATCATAATAAATATTACTTTTTTACTTACATTTTCGTAGTTTTGTTTATATTCCTCTAATTTCTAAATTTGTTTTGGTCAGAACTCAGTGTTGTGAAATGCATTTAAGTACTTGTCAATGTTATTGCTCGTTTTAGTCATGTTAGCTGAGACCGTGAACAGATGTTAAGTTTAAATTCGCCGCTTAACATTATAAATAAAACCTGGAATAAAATAATAAAATATGTTTAAGAAACTCACTTACACACTTAATTTATGCTCTTATTATTTATGAAAACTAAAAAAAAGATGCAGTTTCATTGCCAGTGCTTATGCAGCAAATGTTCAACTCTGATAACATATTGCGAAATGTTAATTTGACAGTGCTGTTATTGTGAAAGGTAAGACAGGCAGTCGAAACCCTCCGCTAGTAGTAAATATTTATTGTTTACGAACGCGTGCTGTCCGCACAGAGACCTTCCATACAGCAGCCATGGCACAGGCCCAAGTCGCAACAACGATCATGTCTCTGCAAGACGCAACAACGACAAAGACAGCAAGTGAGAGAATTGGCTAATTGCGACCGACCCATGGTCCAATGTTTCGTTCCATACGATTTCATCAGGCTTATAAAACAGCTGTTTAATTACTATTAGTTAATCCAAAACCTGTTCATCTATTCATCATTGTTGCTGTTGTCACAACTGTTAACTCATGCGAAACTTTCTTTTGACTAACTTTCTAGATGGTGTATCCAATATGGCAACGCTGGGTGAAAACAGCTGGGAGGAATTTTCCATAGATGTGCCCTGGGGCACAGTGGAAGGTGAGTTTTTGTGAATAGAACAGCTAAATCTTTTCTCACGCACAAAGAGCTGAGTCATCCTCAGTCAGCTCAGCTTATCAGGCAGACAAATCGCACGTTTTCCAGTGACTGTTTATTATACGCTTGTAGACAACGATTAACATCTTGCGAAATTTGAAACGGTCAATGGTCAATGGTCACAATTGTATTATTAATGCAGTTGTTTTTAAACAAAGAGACGGATAAAATAAATATATATATATATATATTTACTGATATATACTGGCTTATATAAAAAAATAGTAAATCACGTGATCTTTATCAGTGCATAATTAATAATCACTTCGTATTCCAGGCAAATGGTGGGGATCTCGGAATCGGCAGCCAATTCTGGCATTGCATGGCTGGCAGGATAATTGTGGCTCCTTTGACCGGCTGTGTCCGCTGCTGCCCGCTGACTACTCCGTGCTGGCCATCGATCTGCCCGGACACGGACACTCCTCGCACTATCCGCAGGGCATGCAGTATTTCATATTCTGGGATGGGATTTCTTTAATTCGGCGCATTGTGCGCAAATACAATTGGAAGAATGTGATCCTCTTGGGTCACTCGCTGGGCGGTGCACTGACCTTCATGTATGCCGCCAGTTTTCCGGATGAGGTGTCCAAGTTGATCAACATCGATATTGCTGGACCCACTGTACGAGGCGTCAAGCGAATGGCGGAGGGCACTGGCAAGGCGCTAGATAAATTCCTCGACTACGAAACACTGCCGGTGAGCAAACAGCCCTGTTACTCGTACGAGGAGATGATTAAGTTGGTGCTAGACGCCTACGGTGGCTCCGTGGATGAGAACGCTGTGAAGGTTCTAATGGAGCGCGGCATGAAAGCGAATCACTCGGGATTCCTCTTTGCACGCGATCTACGGCTCAAGGTGAGCCTGCTGGGACTGTTTACAGCGGAACAGACACTCGCGTATGCCCGGCAAATACGCTGCAAGGTACTCAACATTCGAGGTGTGCCCGGCATGGAATTCGAATCGGGTGATTTCTATTCAAAGGTCATCGCCACACTCAAGGAGTGCGCCGGGCATGTCGTCTATGTGGAAGTGCCGGGCACACATCATCTCCACCTGGTCACACCGGAGCGGGTGGCGCCGCATATTACTCAATTTCTTGTAAATAAGTAGTTATAGTAATACAAAACCCGTTTCAAATTCTGTCAACATTTGTCTTGCGTTACGTATTTCCATTTACGTTGCGTTACGACAAATGTGCTAACGGTTCGTAGGAGGCTTGACACTAAAAAAATATAAGGTATATTTTTGTCCATTCACCAGTATTACAAAATTCATCGTTTTCTTGGGTAGGTGCTCTTTACAGCACTGGTAGTGCATATTACCGTTGCCTAGCAACATTTTATTTTGGTGTCGTTTGTCTGTCGTTGAGGCAAACAAAAAAATGGATTTGATACAGGAGATTAACGAAAAATATCAAGCACTCGAGGCGGAAATTGACAAAAAGCTGGAAAAGGTGTAAGTCAAGTGCATCTACTTTGTAAACATCTCAAGTGAAACAGTCTGTTGTTGTTGTTTTTTTTTTAATTGGCAGCGATGACGCAGTTTATAGTGCAGTACTTACACAGCAAAAATAAGTGAAGCATACCCTGCGGCATTAAAAAAAAACGCAAGTGCGGCTTTTTTTTTATTGAGTGTATGAATTTCAGAATATATATTTTTATTTTTAATTCTTAGTTTAATTATAAGTCTTTATTATTACTTTATGTATAATTGAATATGAACAATAATTTGTTTAAAGTGCTTTTTGCACTTGCATTTTATTGTCGACAGATGTCGCTTGCTTGTGAGCGACTGAAACGTTTGAAAACGCAACAAATTTAACTATTTTGTTATTTATAATGATTGAAATTTGGTATTTCATTTATATATATCTTTGTTTCTAATGATTATTTTAAACGACATTTAAATTTTATATAAACTTGTAGGCAAGCTGAGGAGCTAAAATTGGAGCGCCAAAATGAGAAACTGGCTGAAAAATCAGCAGCTGCCCCATCGCCAAAAGTATTATCCTACGAGGAGGCGCTGCAGAGAAATGCAAATACCTTGAAAGTGAGTTCGTTTTTGGCACAGCAAAAGGAATTAACTAAATGGCACAAACTAATTTCAATCCTTAACAGTCTCTGGAAATAGCCAAGGCTCGCTTACGTTCACGTTCCACCTACTCCCCCGTAGAGAAGTTGTTGCAGCGTGCTCTGGAGAATTACAAAAAAGAATTGAACAGTCTGAATAGACAGCAAGCAAACAACAGCAAACAGGACCTCAATGCCCAGGCGAAGTCAGTAGTTCAGGACGATGACGATGATGAGAAGGAGCAGGAGGAAGCGCAAAACCTTTACGAGCTAATCATGCAAAATGTTTTGGAGGCCAGCGAAAGTCGTCGCAATTGAGAACTGCTGTTGCTGTCTCTTATTTTTTTTAATGGAATTTTATATATACATATGTATATCATGTACCTTTGTCTCGCATCGCAACTGCCACTGAAAAAAGTTGAATTTTTCAAGCTGATCAAATAGAGACACATGACCAAACGAGAGTTTGTATGCTTTTTCCCCCGTACAAACAAGAGAACCCAAAACGAATAAACACGATCAATGACAAAAGCAATAGCAACAACAATAAATAAAAACACTCCACAGAAGATCTAACCAAAAAAGCTGGCAATCCTGTCAACCCACATATCAACCATATCATCCAATTGAACTAAGTGTTTGAACATGTTCGTCGGTATCTCAAAGCAAGGAGTTCCAACATTGACGACAAGGCCAACAATGTGAGAGAAAAACAAACAAACCATTACCAAAAATTGTACTTGTCCTAATTAGTCTGGCAATTATATATATATGGAAGGGGAGGGAGTAGGGAATATTTATTTCGATCTATGCTGCAAAACTTCGATTTCCAGACAGCAGTCGAGAGAGAGATCGAGACAGAGAGAGACAGAGAGAGAGAGAGAGAGAGAGAGAGAGAACAATCATCGTTTAGTAATAAATCAATTAATGACACCAAACGGCTCGTGCAAACATCAAAGAAAACTTATGAGTTTTTCACGACACACACACTCAACACACACACTCACACACACGCATTGACAGTGTATGACATTTATGCTGATAACGTTGGTTGGTTGCTGCCGCAGACTATCGCAGACGTGTCGTGGAAGAGTGCCCTGACGCAAAGACATTGTATGTGTGTCGAGCAAATAGCAAACAACAGTTTGAGTTGAAGTTGTCATATCTGTTATGGAGCACATCACACACACATACACACACACACAGAGAGAAAAACGCCCTGTATACAGACAGACTACCTGCTGCAGATAAGAACACACAGCTCTCGAAACTATTAAGACAAATTGTAGTGCATACAACAATTGAAACTTGTCCGCTTAACGACATTTCCATTTCAAATTTTCTTTTTGTTTGCTTGGTGTTGCCAAGCATTATTGCTACAAAAGAGCAAGAGCATCAATTTAATAGCCAATACCAAGCCGCCACACACACACACAAACACCCGCACATCGATTGGCAAATCTACACTCAGAAAATATTAAAGAGAATTTTGTAACTTTGACAAAATGGAGAACAAATTTCTTTTTCAAAGAAACCCTTTTTGTGAACTCCCGACGATTAATAAGGAGAACTTTATAAAAAGTAACGGCTTAAAAAAACCCGCATTTCTTTTTCCAAAAACACGGTTTTTTATGTAAACCCCTATTTAATATAAGATTGTTTAATGAAGTTTAGCACTACGATTTTTCTCAATATAAAAATCGAACGACTTTAAAAAACCGCGTATTTCTTACTCCTATTCAAATATATTTTTCTCATTTTCATAGATTCGAAAAGGCTAAAAATAAAAAGAATCAGAATTCAAATGATTTGCACTTTTTTCGAAATATTCAAAAACGAATCGTTTTGCAAATTTTAAGGAATTCTATGCCAGTTAAATTTTAATTCGAGTGTACTGAAAATATATTACCCACTTGTGCTCCACATTTATGCGTTCAATATTTCATATTTATTTGTTTTCTGTTTTGCCTCTACACACACACACACTTATATATATAAAGGTAGCTCCTCCTTCCGCCTGTACAGGTGTGTGTGCTTGTCTTTTCTTCTCTTGCAATTCATATCAGCTCGTTTCTCAACCGATCGACGACTTCGTGGCGCTGACGTTTTCAATTTCATCGACAATTCCAACGTTTCAGTTACGTTTCGATACGCGACAAGTGCATAGTGAACTGCTCCGTGGAGCGATCGTTATTTAAGATCGATTCTAACAGATCATAACTTCATTCAATTTCTATACGCTTCTGAACGATCTTTGTCTGTTTGTGTGTGTGTCTGTGTGTATTTGGTGGGGCGGGCAGCGAATTACTTGGGCCAAGTGGATGTAAACTGTGAAAGCGCATTTTGCATATAACAAAAAGTTTGTTCGTTTGGCTTAAGTTATTTTCATGCCCGATATAACGCCACGTGGGTGAAGCAGCCATTTGGCGCAACTAACACGATTAGCCTCAAAAACGTTACAATATATAACCATTTGTAGTTGCTGCGGCTTTTGCCAACGTCATCAACTCAAATCGATTCGTTTTGAGGATCGCCTGAGCAGCAATCTTTGCACCTGGCCCCAGACGGAGATATACATATATTTATATATTTACAAAGTCGTTCAACGAGAGATAAGAGACTCTCCCCATGCTCAACTTGGTTACCTGTAATCAATCATAAATTGCACAAAAAAAAAAAAATGAAACCAAAAGAAGAAAGAGAAGAAAAAGAAAAAATACTGCTGGTCTTAGATTGATAATGACACTGATACGCGATATGCAGGCAACTGCTCCTAATCTAAAAAGTTAAACTGATTGCATGGCTACCGTATATAACCAACGAGAGACTCGGGCTATACAGAGTATCAAAGGCTACGTATACCACTTTATATATATTTATAAATATATAAGCATATATATAGAAATAATCTTAGGAATGTCGGCTTCTGATTTACCGATTTTATTAAAGCACGCACTTTTATAGACCACATAAAGCCATTATCGTTATAGCTCTGCACAATTTAAGGCCCCTCAACAAGAAACTCCCCCTTTTATCAGACGAGTATAAAATTTGATTTTTTTTTACACTTTTTTTTTGTAGACGTGTCTTCGCTGACATTAAACTGATTCGATATGCTTGAGAGTGAAGGTAATTTGGGGAGTGCGGCGGTCATGATTTGCGATAAGGGTCAGTTTGGGGGTCCAGGGTAGCCGTATAAGTAACGCTCTCTGACCGAGCGACGTGGCTACAGATATACACATTTATATATATATATATATCTTCTGGAGTGGGGCACTTCTTTGTGACTGAAACTGAAATTGAAACTGATAATTGTGCTACGTACACAAAACCTTGCTCGAAGTTATCAGCGCCGAGTGACAACCGGAAATTAAAGTTGAAAGCGACACGATTACTTCATTAGTTATGTTTATTTCCACATTGTTGTATGTGGCTCTTTGAGGTTAGGTCTCCAATTTTTGATTGATAAAAGGTCGACAAGGTCGCAGGAGCCATCGGTGTGGTTCAATGAACTGAACCAATACGATACCAAAAGCTTAATGGCTTCCATTGGTTTATTATTAGATAAACACAGTCATTATTAACCAATTAGCTTTTGATTATTGGTAGCTGGCAGAGGCGGGTACCCCCTCCCCCAATAGAGAGGTAGTGCAAGATGGGTAGCAGTCACAGGTTGGTGCCCCCTCTCCGAGGCGGAGTCCCTTGAAGTGCTATAAAGTAAACCAAGTTGTAGTTGTTGAAACGCAATTATAAGCTGCAATAATAAATCAAGAATGCTCGAGGTGAGTGTGACTGACTAAATGATACCCTGTGTGCATAAACTTTGCAGTATAAAACCAAATAAAAGTACAACATTTATATGAGCTTCAGGTTGAATTTAAACTGAGTCTGCTTTGCATATATGAGGTTCTCTGCAGACAATTTGAATAATCATAAATAGACAAACGTGGCACTATCGACCCAGCTGCTTAACCCTTTAAGAAACATGTGCACTTTATAGATTTGGAGATGCGCATTTCTATTTATGACTAAACATACATTTCCACAACTTTATTATGCCCACTAAAAACATTTTTGATGGGGTATAAAAACGTGGAGCGAAACGTTGATCAGGTGCAAGCGACAGACGAGGACGTGGAATTCGCATAACACTTATACATACTCGCATGCTTATTTGTTGTACCAACCAAATCTGGGAGCTGAAGCCTACTACACGATGTCATTTGGTAGACATTGGTGGGTGCAGTCAGCATTGTGCTCCACGAGGCTCGACGAGTGTGCCAAGAAACGTCAAAAGAAATGAATTCGCTGTCCAAAAAGCGTAAGAAGGCCTGAATGTCTGATGATGATTATGACGATGATAATGATGGTTATGATGATGACGAGTGGCCCCGAGCCTTAGGCTTAGGGGTCGTACCGACCAGGGAGGAAAGGTCTGTGGGGTGTGCTTGCAAATGCAAAAACTTTAGACAGGGAATCAATTGTTGCCTTGTTTTATTTCTCTTCTTTTTGTCGAGAGACACGCAACAACAATAGCAAAATAGCAAATAAGCTGGTAACTAGCTGCAAATGGGCTGCGGATAGGGTGTGGCTAGGGGCGGGTGTGTGGCCAACAACCGTGAAAAGAACTTCAGGATGACAGTTATGGGTTACAAAGGCAAGGATTGAATCAAATAAATAAAAGCACAAGGTTCGTTGCAGTCAAGGTGGGTAATGTGTGGGGGCAATGGGGGTTGTATGTGTGTGTGGGTGTGTGTGTGTGTTGGTGTATGTTCTGTTGCTGGGGGTCCTTCGATATCCATAACCTTACCATGTCCATGTCCATGTCAAGTTTGCATGCGGCTGCAGGTAATTCTTCATTTGCTTTACATAATCATCATACTAAAAATGAATGGCAAATCTATTAGCATATAAACATCGCATAAAAACCGTAAATGTCGACAGCACCAAATTCGTAAATTCAGTTGCATTTAGGCAGTCGTATCGCGATGAACATCTGGAAGGCAAAAGTCCTCACCGAGGTGCCCTTTGGACATGTGCTCATTGTCGGTGGCAAAGTCAAGCCGCATCCCAATAAGTAGGCAATGCAAAAATTACATTTACAAGAAGCACTCGCAATCTCCATTTAAAAAATTGTACTCATTCCACAGAATCTCATTAGATTTAACGGATAATGTGAATGCTGAAAATGAGAGCGAAACGGTTTTTCTCAAGATCGAGGCAAACTTTAGGGAGGGTCAGATCATACGCAGCATGTTCCAGCCGGGGGAGGGCTGGAAACAGGAGGAGATCTCCAAGAATTGGAAAAGTGATGGCCCCAAGAATCCACTAGTGCCCGGGCAATGTTTCACCTTTCGGGTGGCTGTGCTGCAGCGCTGCTTCGAGATCTATGTGAACGATCAGCTTTATGGCTCCTTTGAGTTTATCAAGTTTCCCAAGCAAATCAATTATGTGCGCGCCTATGGGGACTTTGAGAAGATCACCCAGTTCCATCATCGCATGCTCTTCCCATTAGTCTTCCCACGCAGCCTCATGTGCTGCGATCGCGTCGCCTTCCAGAGCGATGTACCCAGGCGCTACGAGTCTGGCACCGTTGTCGCCATGGAATGCATTGCCAAAGGACCGCCCACAACAGAGTTCTCCATTTGTTTCCAATGCAATGATACGGGTCGCATGATTCTCAAGTTTAATGTGAACTTTGACAAGACGACAGTGTCGCGCTGTTATCAAAGAGAGGACAACAGGTACGCCTACAAATACTTTCATATAATCATATATATATATTGATCGCTCGGAATTTAAAATCTTATTAATCGAAGATTTAAATTATATTCCGAGCGATTAATGAGCTTTCTTTGCCGATTGCTTATCTAATTTCCTTATTTTCTTCTCGCCCAGTTTTGCCAGCGACGATGAGGAAACCGAGGGCGAATTTCCGTTTGTGCGTGGAAAACTCTTTAAAATTGCATTCGGCATCAGCGATCGCTCCTTTCTCATTGCAGTCAATGGGCAATACTTTACCTATTATAACTTTCCGATACGCCCCTTTTCGATATCGACGCTCAAGTGCTTTACCAACGAGGTGGGCGACTTTTCTGTAAGAAGTTTGGAGTATCATTCCGATTCGCCGTTACTTTCCCGTGTCGAGAAACTCTCCATTATATAGAAGAGTTTATTTATTTTCCGATTTGGGCTTAGAATGGATATATGTAAAGCCTCGCTAGTTGCAAACGTTGAATTTATTCCTGTACACCAGTTAACTAACTACTTGTAGTCTATCAAGTTTATCAAATAAATTGATCAATTCCAAAAAAGGATCTGATTTCTTTCAGTCGACTACAAAGAAAAGATGCAAGGAAGTTGGAGCTGCTGATTGTGGAATATCATTCATGGACTTGAATTCCAAGTCAAGCATCACGAAGAATTATTCTGGTCTACCAAGCCTAACTTTATCACTTAACGTTATTAATTAATAATTATTAACAGTACTTTGTTTATGTAGGTTCCTTTAGTTATTGCAAGGACCAGGCTTTATTTCAAACAATTTATTGCTTTCGCCACCAGTCCACTCTCATTATAAACAATATATATACCATAATGGAGTGGTATTTCTCCCACTCTCCACTGTGATGCTGAGTGTGTGTGTGTGTTTGGCTAATCTTCGATGAAGTACAGCTTAAAGTTAGTCTTATGGTTAGTTTCGAGTTTCCATTTTCTTTTTAAAAAAACACACATGTACAAATAGAAACAGAACAACTACAAACTATGAATTTAAGTAGGGGACTCGACAAACATCCCAACGACTGCGATTCCTTTTGCGCAGCAAGGATTATGTTGTCAGCTTGTTTGTTGAAATGTTGGTATGTTTTAAAAGTAACGGAACTCGCCCTTCTTGCCCAAATGCTTGCTACGCATCATATCCGTGGCATCCGGGGAGCGTTGATCCATGCCTGCATTGTCCTGCAATAAGAATTAGAGCAAATTATGAGTATGGACAACGGAGTTTGTTGCACCTAAAGTACTCACCATATTGCCGCCCGTCATGTGACGGGATTTACTTGCCCCAGCCTGCTGCTGCTGTTGCTGCTGCTGGCCATAGAATTGACCGTTGCCCTCGCCATCGCCGTAATTAAAAGGTGTGACAATCGTGTGTGGCACATGTGCCACCTGACCACGCATATTACGCGCCTTCCACCACTTGCGTGTGTCATCAAGGATCTGTGTATGGAAACGGATTACAGATTTTAGTTATGTCAGAGGATATAGTTATAAGCTACCTAAGTAAGGGTTTAAGATAACCCAATCTATAGTCTGGCCGGAGATTCGAAGTCTTCTCATCAACTTTATAATAGTTATATTTAGGATTAAGCTGTACGGACTCACCTCCAGGTATTCACCGCGCATGACGCTCAGCTCCTTGTCATTGTTGGCGGTGCGGGGATAGGTGACCAGAACAACTTTAGCGCCCGACGACTGCAGATCCTCCAGCCACGCCTCCAGCAGCTGATCCTCACTGGCATTGGCGGCACCGCCACGCGCTGCACCCGCAGACAGTTCGGAGACGCCGCCTGGGCCCGCTGCACCATAGTTGCCAGTGCCGCTGCTCACGTTGCGGGATTCGCGTGTGTGCAGATTCTGCAGACCCGCTGTGATTGCGCTAAGGGTGGGACCACCGGAACCACCAGATCCATGGGCACCGGTAGACGTGACGCCACCACCACCGCTGCCGCGCTCTATGGAGTCAAAGGAGAGCTCGCTGCGCGCATTGAAATCGGAGGCACTGATGGCACCGGTGCGATCACGATCACGATCCCGATCCCGATCATTGCCATGGTGTATAGTGTACTTCTCGCTGAGAGAGATGCCAATGCCATTCGTGTCATAATCATCATAGCCACCACCGGCGGCAACAGCACCAGCACCACCACCACGTCCGCTTATGCCCAAACCGGCACCGGGACCCGCCTGCACATCGAGCCGACGCTTGGTGACGTGCGTCGGTGATGTGGCCTCCAGTTCGTCAATGACTAAATAATCGGGTGACCAGCCATCAAGGAAGACGGGGTGATACGAGCCAACATCTTCCTTCCACTGATCGCGCGGAATGACCCAGGCATCGCCCAATGAACGCCACAGTTCGGTCTCCTTGCTGGTGACGCAGTTGATCAACAAATTGATGGCCTCGCGTGTCAGCAGCGGATTGATGACGCGAGCCGGCAACTGGGACTCGTAGTATGTATCGCTGGAGGCTTCGACAATCAGTGCCAGAGGTGTGAAAAGAAAATGCACCAATTCCGGCGCATTGGGATCATGGATGTGCGCCTTCAACTTGGCCAGCAAATTGAACGATAGCTTAAACTTGGCGAATATGTCAACGAACTCCTTCTCATGCGGCGGCCGGGTGCGCAGGGTAAGCAATCCCTCGCCCGGATCACGTTTCTTCGATTTGCGATTCCGTCGACGCCGTTCCAGCTCTCGTGAAGCGGCTGCCGCATGCTGCAGTCGCGCAATAAACTTCTCAATATCATCGAAACAATGATTCAGCACCGCCACATCCCGTTCATATTTCTCGCTGGACGTGGAGCTTGTCTCGTCGCGATCATTGACACCGCCATGCTCCGAATCCGTTTCCCCATTGTGTATGAGGTCCACTTCGGTCACAGCATTGACAGCCGATCCCCGCATGCCATATTGATCCACACTGCTGCGTTGATGCATGTGATGCTGATGCTGAATCTCTCGATCTCTTTCACGTTCTCTTTCACGCTCCCTCTCTCGCTCCCGATCTCGGCCGCGTTGTTCGCGCTGATGATGATGCTGCTGCTGCTGTTGCTGTTCGGCGCGACTGTGCGACGACGACGACGATGTCTTGCTCATCATCATGGCCATGCCGGAACTGGAGCTTGCGCCGCCTGCATGCTGAGTGGGTGTCGCTCCCCGCTGCTGGGTGATCATTTTGCCGCTACGCAACTGCTTCAGATCCTCCACCAAATGCACAGCGCTAACACTTTGTGACTGTTGGCAGAGGGAATAGACTGTGATTAGGGGAAAATCTTATTAATCTATAGGATAGCTAACTCACCTGAAATATGTGCATTTCGGATCGTGATCCGCCGCCGCCCGAAACGATAAAGACAAGTATATTGTTGTAGAGCTCCATGGCGTCGTTGGACGTGAACGCGGTGGGTTCCTGCACCAGCGATGCAGGAAAACGCTCAATGATGTTCTGTAAAATTGGATTCGATTAAAAAATGTGCAAAAATATATGTTTTACATAAGTTTTGTATATTTTTGTCGGGTCAAGATCTAACTTAAGCCACGCCCAGACCAACAAACCAACTTTATTCGATTAGAAGTATTCCAGACTTGCCAAAATGTGTTTCATTTAATAGGAATACTTATTTCTTAAAAGAACATTTAGGTATTTTACATAAGGCTTGTATGTTTTGTTCGGCTTAGGGTCTAACTTAAAGCACCTTATCTTAACTTTTAAAAAATTTATGATTTTGTGTGTACTAACCCCTGTCTCGTAATCCATGATGAGCACCCACTGATAGTCCAGGCAGAGCTGCATCTTCTGCGACCAAATGCCTGTGGTCTTCTCCAACTGCAGCAACCGTCGCATGCCATCCGCCGGATAAACAATGCCCGACTCCTTGTTCACGGTGAATGTGGCCAGATGCTCCAGCAGGTAGGTGGGCTTGTCATTTAAATCGCCATCAAGTCGCTCCCGTTCCTCGCCCCCACTTCGATCGTCGCCGGAGTAGTCTCCGCCACCGCCATGGGCACCACCGCTGCTATTCCCAGCACTTCCGCCACCATTCGAATGATGGTTGACCATCTTTCCTAACTGTAAATTGTGACTGTCTACCGTTTAGTATCTTCTGCCACACAGCTGAAAGTGAAAACAATTGCATCTTTCTTATTACAGTCTTGGCTCAAAATAAAGTCCACTTGTACTGTATTTGCTGTATATAGATCAATTTTATAAGACTATTATTAAGAAAAGATGTTAGGAAAAAACCACATACAAAGTAAGGATTATTCTTATTATTATTTTTGTAATTCATGAGCGATGACTGTAATCACAGTATTCACTGTATTTGCAGCCTTGCACACATTTTGGCTGTCTTTTTATTGCGCAGTCGTTGTTGGCTCTGACTCAGGCCACATTCCACGCTCAGCCCAGCTTTAGCCACAATTATTCTCAAACTTTAACATTTTGTTCGCAGTCGCGCAGCTTTGGAATTTAAAAATCGCGCGCCCGGCCCCCGCACGCCACCAGCCCCCTAGCGCACACAGCACTCCTCAGCTGTCAGCTCGTTACGCGTATGTGTGTGTGTGTGTGTGTGTAGAATCTACCTGTTTGTTGAATGTGTGGCCTGGCCTGGCCTGGCAACCTCACACTTCTCTCTCTCTCTCTCTAAGCATATTTGCAAATGTGCGGAGAGCAAACAATGCGAGAGCGAGAGCGAGAGAGAGAAGCCGCTCCCTCGACTTAAGTGACTTAGCCTAAGTAGTTAGGCGTGTGCCGACGGCGACTGCGCCGGATGCCCAGTAACAAGCGATCACATATGTACACATACACATACACACACATACACATACCATACGCGTATGCATTAGTGTATGTGAGTATGTATGCGAATGGGAATTTATAATTTGAGTGTTAGAGACAACTATGTCTGTCAGTCTGTGTGTCTTTCTGTCTGTCTGACAACTGTTAAATTTAACATGTTTTTATTTTCGCATGTCGAATTGCATCATCGGCAAGTTATTTTGACTGATTTACACCGCTACTGATTTACGTATTGTTATTACTATGTTGATAAAAAAAATTATCACACGTAACTAAACTAAAACTAGCTGAAAGTGTCCAAAGCAAGACGCATACATAAATTTTACTATTTTTTTTTTGTTTGGTTTCAGCTGAAGCGTTAAGCGTCGTAAAAAACATAGTAACGGTCGACGCTCGGCCGGCTAGCGAAGCATTCATTTATTTACAGATAATTAATTAAGCCGTGATAAGCAGGCAACGCCATGAGAGAGATAGCTGATAATAGCCAAAGTCATTCGTTTTAGTCATTGGAATTAAAAAAAAATTTTAAAAATAACTTGCAAAAATAAATAACACAGCTTGAGCTGCACACAACAATTGTACAAATTTAGATAAGCGTTGCCTGACTTTGCTTTTTTTTTTGTTTATCTAAAAACATTCCAAAGGCGAAGGCAAATGGCAAAACAACAAACGTTTTTATTATTTCTCTGTGTTGTTGCTTTTTTTGTTATTGTTGCCTCTGTGAAAAACCAGCTTGCTCACAAGTGAGACTCGGTTACAACAAATGGGGAGACATCGACATCGACACCGACACCCCAAGCTACACATACACACACACACACACACACAGTATGGTTATCCCGTTCGCACACATGCGCATGCGTGGCTACGGCACTGCCAGGTGCGCCGAGGAGAGTCTGTCTATGTGTATGCTTGTGCGTGTGTGAGTGTTGGTCTCTTTGTGTGTGTGTATTTGTGCGCTTTAAAAAAGGTAAGTCGGATTTGTCCCCGCTGCGTCTGCTGCAACTTTACTTTTTTGACGACCGCATTTTTTAGCTTTCTTTTCCACCTGTTTTTCTTTTGCTCTGTTGATATTTTTATGATTTTTTTTCTTCTTTCACACAGACGGCTGCTCACTGTTAGCTAAATGCATACACACACACACACACAGATGCATGCATATGTAGAGGTGTGTAGTGCATAGGCAATAATAGCAAAAGGTATGCACAATAACACACTGGGAGCGGCTGCAGGTTTTCCCATATTGATTTTCAATGCTCTTTTGTTCAATTCATTCACTAAATTCATCGCGACGTGTGCAATCATTTATTCTAATTGACCGCAATTTTGTATATATTTATTAATCTCGCACACATACATATGGCACCTGTACACACACACACATGCATTCATTGACTTTTATCAATAGCTCCTCATCCTTCTCGCACTCTCACGTTACGCATTCTTTTCTAATTAGCACGAATTGGAATATTTTGTTGGCACGTTCTTTTACTCTTTTACCGGAATTCAAAATATTCGGTTGTATTCGGTAGGGGGAGGGTGTGCATGACGATGGCAGAGTTCGGGGCACTTCACAAATATTTACAGCTGCTTCATTACTATTTTCATTTCGAAATAAAAACTAACTGTAATTCGGCTTGCGCGTTTGTCTAATTTCTTTCTTTCACACTTGACATCCACATCTATCTCCCCACACACTTCGCTCACTCCCAATCTCAGCTTGAAGAGAGCTCGTCACAATCGTTTTTTTTTTACCTGCCGTTTACTTGTTGTTTGTGCTTTTGAATTCTCGTCCGCCTTCCTTCTATTTTGGCTTTCCACTTTCGTTCGTTCTACACAATTTTACAACACTTTTCTTTAATCTAAGCCCGATTTTGGCTTATATACGCACTGATTCAATTATTTACACTCTCTTTGCAAATAATATTATGGAAAATAAATGAAATAAATTAGTCGTATTGTCGCCGTAATTGTAATTGTTTTTTTTCTTGATTTTTTTTTCATGCACACGCGAGCATTGTCCGCTGTGGCCGCTTTTAGTACGTCAGGCCAGACCAAAATCAAGGTACTAACTTGGCTAACTCAACACGGCTAGCGCTAGCTCCGTTAGCCAAGAGCTAAGCCTCAAAAGTACCTCAGTCGTCATGTCACAGAGAGAGAGAGAGCGAGCGTGCGAGAGCAAAAGCGGAAGCGTTGCCACCTAGTCTGTTTTGAAATAGTATCAAAATGAAATTGCTTTTTTTCATATTATTTATTTTTTATGGAAATTAAAAAATTGCTTGAACTTAAAAACTAACTTATGGTGTATGCTACTATTTTTGTTTGTTCGCCTTAAGCAGTTTCGCCTTGAGCGCTTTAACATCCACTTTGCTAGCTTCTGAGGGACGCTTGCGATTCTGTTCCGGGGAATCTTCGGTGGGCGGCATAAAGTCCTTGTTGCGACGTTCGTCCTGTTTCTTGGCCGCCTCCGCCTGTTTGGCGACGCGCTCCTGCTGCCTCTTGGCCTGCTTCTGTTCCTTGTTGAGGAAATATTCACCCGACGCCAGCTGCTTGTCAATCTTACTCTCCGGCTGTGCCGGCGGAAATGGTGTATATTCCCCTTTGGGCTTCCTGGACTTGGGCTGCTTGCGCTTGCTGATGTTCTTGTTCTTGAATTTGGGCAGAAAACGGGACCAGTCCTCGTTGGCCAGCTGGGGATCCTTCATCAGTTCGCGCTTGATCATCAGCGCTTTTATGTTGTAAATGGGATGCACATTGTTCATCGTCTCCAGGACAATGTCGCGCACCTGTTGCAGGCCCTTGTACGGCCCCAGCGCGGCGACAGTGTTGCCCTGCACAAGGACATAGCAATCGGTTAGCAGCTCGATGGATTTCAGTGTTGCCCCATTGGGTCCAATTAAACGCTGACGGCGCTTCACAAACTTCTCCTTCTTGTGGACAAGATTACCGATCTTGATGATGTCGCATCCGGTTTCATCTTGAAGCACACGTTTCGCTTGCTCGAACGGCACACTGCGCGCCATCAGTTTGATCATGTCACGCGATTTGATTATAATATAAGGATCCCATGTCTTGCGCGTCGTCTTCACCACCATGCTGCCCTCGATCAGATCCAGTTCGGCTCTCAAATGATGCTCGGCAACGGTTTGCTGCACGAGGGGCCACACTTCCTTTAGGTATTTTTCGCGGTATTTGGGAAAGAGCGTGGCAAATGAGCTCTCCTCGACCATGCCATGTGGATTATCCTCGGCCTTGAACGTGGGAATTTTCAGTGACCAGGCATTGTCCACGGGCTCCGTGCTTTGCTTTGTAGTTTCTTCAGTTTCACTATCGCTCATTGCTGCTGCGATTTATTTAACTTTAATTAAAATTTAAAAATTTTGTCTTTGCACGTTTGTTTTGAACAGCTGATGGTGATGTGAGACCGTTTGTAAAACTCGTCGTGATACGATAGTACAAATGATAGTATCGCATAAAATCTACAAGGTTAGTGCGATATGTCAGTTTGCCAATTACATGAAATCAATATCATTTGCTCCCATTAATTATTTCAATATCATTTAAGAGTAGCATTATTGCACAACAAAAATTGACTTTGTTTAATCTTCAGTACATCATTTAAGCGGTACTGCGCACGACTAAATAATAGTCGAACTATTGTGACAGTCGTGCACTATCGATATGTTTTGTGCACAAAGCAGTGTTGCCGTGTTGATCTTCAGTCGAACAGATCTGTTCATTTTGAATTTGACTTAAACAAAAAGATCAGCAGATAAACCCTGTCCGAAATTAATAAAGATATCTTAAGTCTTACGGCTATTTCGTCAACCTGTTCTCTCTCGTTGTGATATTTATACTCAGGTCCATCTGTCGATTTTTGTAATCGATAGTTGTCAAAGCTGGTACAAAGGTGTGTCATGAGAAATTTTCCATTCGTTTTTTCATTCTATTGTTGCTCTTGGGTGAGTTTGGTCGATGTTTATTTCGTTGAGGCACGGACTTTCACTTTCGCATATAAATTGAGACGCAATAAATTTTCCAACTCGTACAAATATATATAAAGAAAAAAAAAAAGTTTTGTAGACAAACAATTTGAAATTGGTCGAATTGATCCACTGGCAGGCTATATTGCAAAATTATTTCATCAACCTACATAAACCACACGAAGTGTCTCCGGAAAAATGCCACTTGGGGCGTGGACGTGTCGTGCAAAAGTTGCATAAAGTTGATCTAAATTGGTAGTTCTTCATTTCAAGTGGCAAATATTAGTATTGTATCGTTAAATGCATAGTTTTTGAACGTTGCGTATTGTGAAATTTTTTTGTGAAAAATCAATATGGCGTCGCTGACGCATCGACGTGGCTGTAGCGGGCGCTGCCAACTTTCTTAAATTAAGAATGTAAAGTAATTGTTTACCTGCTTTAGGATGCTACATTAAATTAATCGAAGCGCGTGTTTAATAAAAATGAAATAAAAAAAATATATAGAGAAAATTCAACTAAGCGCATATTTGCAAGCGAGTTGTTTGTTTCTCTAAGCAGGGTTGCATACGCCATGCAAGTATCGATTGCGATTATTCGATTGGCTACGTCAATATTCACGAGAGCAATTAAGACGCGAAACACGTTTTTTCTTTGTAAGCAATTGCTGCTAAAATTGGTCATAAGTATATAATATATAACCCATAACTGTTAATAAAAGGGCTGCGTTGCTCCCTTGGCAACATAAGAAACGAAAGCAACACAAATTACTTTTTCTGCATGGTTGGTTATAAATATTTATTGCGTCGCTAGGTAGCGTCACAAAGTGTAATGGATTTATTTATGTTTAAACATTATGTGCACAATTACTGAGTGGTGTTTCTACGTTTTTGTTTTAGATTTGAATTGAATACGATTGCAACTTGATGGCCTAAATTTGGTGCATTACGTAATCTTCGTGGTGTTTTATATATATATATATAGTAACACAAGCACTGCCCATTATCTGTGCCCGCATTAGAAAGAGACGACAATAGTGCATTTGCTATTTGGCGTTGCCATATAGTTGAGATTTATTTGAATTATGGTGAGTTGAAATATATTTGTAAACGTGCTCTGAATTTTTAAATTATGTTTTCTTTTAAATGATTTTGCAGCCACGAATAGTGCCATTGCAGTTGTTGAAGTGCCTTCGGGTGCTTCTGGACACCAATGGTGGTATACTAAGCGCAACGGAAGTGAAGCGGATAGCGGGGTAAGTTGCTGTACTTAAGGGTTAACAACCAAACGCCATCTAGCGTCAATTTTTAACACAATTGTATTTTTTTTTCCCCACTGCAGGTTGATGACAAAATATTCAAAAAAATTGGTTTCGAAATGCGTTTATGTGCAAATCTTGAAGTCAACCAAAACCGAACTGCTTGGCGATTTTATGACTGTGGGTGGCTGGGGCTTAGTCTGCACTTGGCTAGGCGATGCCATACGGACAATGAATTGGCCACTTGTACAGGAGATTTTGGAACTTTTACTCCTTTCCCCGGTAGATGTAAATAGATTAAAGATTAACTCGGCACCGATACTTGTTAAGGGGCTGTGCAAGGATGGGGGCAATGAAGGTGAGTGCTTTAGTTTCAGATCTTTTAGTCGACTGTTGTACTGCTGTCAAATTGTGTATTGTATATACCCATTTAATTTGAATTTCTTGCTCCACTCAGGTGTTCGAATTTTGGCGAAACGACTTGTTGAGCAGTGGCTAAAGATTGTTACGGAAAATCCAGGCGGCACAACTGCAACCGGTTCGTCTGGGAGTGCAGCTGAGTCGATGCAGTCAACCAGCAAGGAGTCATCCTCGGCCGCCGAGCTAAAGGACTCAAATATGGAGAACAGCTCATCGGACAGCACGGACAGTGGATGTGGTGGATCGGTTACACAGAACTACAGGATCATTTCGGCAGAGCGCAAGCGCGCTATAGTATTAACAATCAAAACAGTTGACAAGTCGTCGGCGTCGACATTAGCATCTACACATAGTGTATATAACGATGACGATAGTTCCTTGCCACCATCTGAGGCTGGCTCCGATTCCAGAGGGACGGAGTCCAATGCCAATTTAGATTGTTCAGATAAATCGAATTTAGATGATAGTTGTACAACAGATTCGAAGGTGGGGGATGAGGCCGATAAAAAGCATAAAAACGCACGCGGCGACAAGAGTAACAAGAGATCTGAGAAAGACCGTGAAAAGGACAGGAAATCATCGTCCAGTAGTCACAGATCCTCTTCATCTAGCCATAAGTCGTCGTCGTCCTCTTCTTCCAAGGGCTCCTCGAAAAGTTCTTCATCTTCGTCCCATCGCAGTTCCAGCTCCGATAAGCATCGCGATAAGGACAAGGTGCGCTCAGGTTCAAGCTCAAGCAAAGAGAAGGATCGCAAGGACGGTGGTGGTTCTAGTTCCTCATCCTCATCAAGCAAGCACAAATCTTCCAAATCCTCAAACTCCTCGTCCTCTTCGTCTAACTCTAGTACATCCTCCAAAGATCGTAGTCGCGATAAGGATAAAGAAAAATCAACCACAACAACAACGGTTGTAAAAAAAGAGAATGAAAAAGACAATAAGCTGATGCCACCACCGCCAGCGTCTTTACCTGACAAGAAATCCAAAGAAGGCACAGAAACTGCCGATGTACAATCCAAACCCAAATCAATACCCATACCCAATCGCAAGGCTTCGATATCGATAGAGATACGTCGAGACACCGAAAAGACATCAACGGTCAAGACGTATCAATCGAAATTTCGTTCACATGGCCTAACCGAAGAGGCGCCACCGCCGCCCTCACGGAAAGGCTTGAAGAAGCCCACGTCCACAGCGTTGCCATCAGCCAACTCGGCGGGAGCAGCAGTAACATCATCGATGCTGCCCATATCCAGTGGACTGAAGCGCCTCTCACCGCCGCCCAGGGAGACGCCTGCCGAGAAGAAGCCTAAAATTGATATGACCCACGTGAGCGGACATGTGGAACGTCCTGGATCTGCGAAATTAATAGCGCCCAAAAAGAGTAAGCATCTTGATTCTTGGAATAAATTACTAAAATGCCCCTTTTTTGTCTCTTTACAGGAAACACTGCCAGTTTTTGCTTTTGTTGTTTCGTGTGTAAACAAATTTGTGTGTAATTTTGTTGAATTCATTTTTAAGGAGTTTAATTTTCGCTTGGGTTGCTTTCATAAATTGATTGATGATTGGTTGGGTTATCGTTTGGGGTGGAGCGGGACAAACTGTTAGATAATTTTATATATATATATATATATATATATATAATCCATGGCCCGTTGGTTATGCTGATTGATAAGACAGTGCGTTTTATATAGAGTTGATTGTGTGATTTAATTTCGGTTAAAGCAGCGGCCTTACACTGCGCTACAAAGAACGGAAATCGGCGCATCGTTTTGTCCACTTTGAGAATGAAACCGGCAACAAGCGGAGGGTCAATTGTACGGCGCATGCGCTTGAGTGGAAAGACGCCGGTGTGCGGCTTGGTGTTAAGTATTAAACCTCAACCTCAAAAAACCACAAACTATATATGCCATATATATTTATATTATGATATATACTACAAAACACGTTTATGATTTAGCTTATAAGGTATGTAGAATACAGCTTACTAACATAACCTCCTACTACATACAAACTACAAAAAATAAATACGACTTTCCTCTAGAAAAATTCCTACGTTTTCTACTGAAATAAAAATATGCATTTAAACAAAAAAAATATATATCAACTTTGAGCTGGCTAATTCTTAAAGTTTGGTAGCACGACATGAACACGGCTTAAAACCTGGCTACGGTCTGCATATATATAGAATTATATATACATATATATATATATATATATGTATATATATATATATCAAGTGTATCGTTCGATATGCTGAAAAGATAAAACAAAAAAATGCAATTGTTGCATGTTCATGACGCTACCAAGGTCTGAGAACATGGTCGTCTTTTCACTTGCGTGTTGGCCTTGCAACAAAAACCGTTTGATGATCAGCTTTGTTTTCTCAGTGGGGTGTACCAAAAAAAAAAAAAAATATTTATATAGAGTCTAGGTTGTTGGGTAGTAAAGCAAACACTGCCGTTGCTTAGACGAGCTCATCCCAGCCTGTGCGCTCGGATTTCAAATACTATACATGTGTATAAATATATATATATATATATATATAGTTATATATAATATGTATAGTAGTATTGAGTTAACGCTCATTTCTCCAGCAAATCGTGTTCGTGTATTGCGTGCTTAGAGGTTCACCAATTTGAATAGAATATGCAGTGCGTACATTTATTTTGGGGAATTTTTCATTATTAGATTGCGATCGATTTATTCTATTCTACAAACAACAAAAGCAAAAACCGGCAGAGTGCGTAAGCAGATATTTATACTATGATTCATTGATAATATATATATTATTTTTAGTATTAAAGTTGTCGCTCGAAAAATATAATAAAATCGAAAGTCTCATTTTTTATGCAACAATAAAAAACAATTATATGAATTTGAAAAATGTAATGATTTATATAAACTATTTGATCTCAATTGTTTACAAACCGAATTAAAGAAGGAATTAAATATGAAATTAGTATTCAATTTTCGCAGCGACTACTCAATTTAATACTAATAAATATATATAAAAGTTTTTTTGTTTTTTTGTTTTGTTATTTATACATTTTAATTATGTGTGTTGAGCTATAAATAGCTCTGACTTCTCAGAAGACATTTACGCACTTAACAAAATTATAAACAAATTACTTATATTATTTATTTGTTGTTTACAGTTGCGACACTGGTGGAAACGAATCTCTTCTCGGATGCGCTGGCGGCATCCATAGAGCCCAAGAAGGTAGTGAAGCGCAAGCGGCTGAATACTGCATCATCACCCACTGAGAAGGATGCGCCACTGGCGCCACTTAAATTCTACCAAGACACGCTGGATGAGTCGAAGGGCGAGGACAAGTCGGATGATAGCACCAAGGAGAACGATGAGAGCCGTACGGCATCTCCCGGCAAGGATACCGACGCTGACGATGATGATATACCATTGAAGAAGGTCAAGGAGGATATTGAACAGAAGGTGCAAAGGGAAAAGTCGACGGCAGAGAACGCCGATGGTGGCGAAAGTCCCGAGGAAGATGACACGCCCGAGGAGCCCAAGAAGCCGGGACCTGGTTGTGGTCCCGATGGACCACCCGGTGTGCTGATGCTGCATCGACGCAAGGGTCCCAAGAAGAAGCTCACCTGGCAGCCGGAGGAGAAACTGACACAGGTCCGTTACTTCGAAGTGGATCGCTCGGAGCGCGTGAACGTGACAAAGCAGAGCTTCCTCGAAATGAAGAATATGGAGCGCTACAGCGAGCGGGATGCCTTAAATATATCACGTCGTGGTTTCGATGACAACATGGAGCCACAAATGGAATGGCGTCCTCTCATCGAGGTGGACAATGTGCCCGATCATCCCAACGGCAATCTGTCCAAGCAGCGCATAGTCCAGGCGGAACGTGAGGCGACCACCTTGCGTGCGCTCTACTTCTCACCGGATATGATTCCCGATAGTGGCGCCGAAGCGGAGCTGGAGCCCCATTTTCCGCACGACATTCCGATCATACCAATTGATGATCTCACTGGCAATCCGGATGCGGTGAATGACTACAGCACGCAGGCGTGGCCGGAGCCGAAGGGCTATGTTGTCGCCGGCAACGAGATGGGTTTCAGTGATGGCATGAACAATGTGATGCCTGGATTGAATCCCAACCTGTTGCCCGCCAATCCCTTCCAGCCGTTTGGCAAAAACGGTTTCGTACCGAACGCACCGAATATGCCCCCAAATACCAAACCACCAATGCCAATGAATATGGCACAGGCGGGCCCGCCGCCCATTTGGCAGAATCAGATGCCGGGCGGTCCGATGATGCCGCCGATGAATGGACCACCAGCCGGCATGGTGGATATGAATGGACCCATGCCGCCCAACTTTCAATTTGGCAGTCCGAGCGGTATGTTTGGTGCGCCGCCCAATTTCAATGCCATGAACTATCCGCCAATGATGATGAATGGACCGGGACCGGGTCCGGGACCCGGCCCGCTGCCCAATGGTCCCATGATTAACGGACCGATGCCCAATGGCCCGATGGGACCCATGACGAATGGCATCGGTGCGCGCAACAACAACAATCGCAAGAACAACATTGCTGGCGGAGGTGGTGGCAACTGGCGCAGCGGTGGCAATAATTTCCAGGACAACTCCGGCGGCAATTGGCGCTCAGCGGGCTCTGGCTCCAATCGTGGCGGTGGCAACAACAACAACAACACTGGCATTTGCAAGCAATTCATGCGAGGACATTGCCACATGGGCAAGTCCTGCAAGTATGTGCATCCGCAAAAGAAGAGATTGTAGGACTCACCCGAATCTTCCGAGGAAGATTCGACAGTATAGATCACACACACACACACACACACACATAAACAACAATAAACACACAAACACAAATCTCTGCGATATGGAGTGTGATCCTTAATTAGTTTAACATTGAGATAAAGGATCACATGCCACGCTGCCACCAACAGCCATTGAAGACTGCAGCCATGAGGAGCAATTGCCTCTTTGCCGGCGCCCAACAATTAGTTTTACATTGTATATATAAATGTAGATACACATTTACGGTATATTATTGATATATAGTCATGTACAAATGTCATTTACTTAACATGCACTCAGATACACCCACAGCACACATACGAAACACACACACTAAACACACACCACATACAAACACACACATTTTTAGATTATAAATGTATAAATTAGATAAAATTCGATTTAACGAATTTCACACAAACTACAATTTAAAATATCTTTAATATAGTTTGTTAATAATAAAGACCAAGTCATACTATGAAGAAAATATGCAACAAATTTATACGCAATTATTGTATTTACTTTGTAAATTGTCACTGCTAACAAAAATGTAAGGCAAATTCTGTTTAAATTAAGTATTATTTGAAAAACTTTCTGGATTTACAAAGTATATATCTAAGGCAAATAATGTGGGATCTGTGAAAGATATGCCATATCGGATTCGTAAGGAGCAAGACTAAAATATAAAATATGGTCGATTCTGAGTTTGAAAATTTCAAATGCAATTGTATTCCACAGACTTCCACAAGTCCAAAGAGTTATATCTTTCTAATATGCGACTTTAAATAGCCGAGTTGTGATCATTATCAAATTTTTGAAGTGGGTATTTACAAAATGGCCAAATTTACTACAAACCTGAGCCCAAAGCTAAGCCAAACGCAAAAAGCTCGTGTGTAAATAATTACAAAATTGAACAAAAAATCAATGACAGATATCTACATATGTACATGTATATATATATATGTATATATGTGTTTGGGTTTGGATAGGTGGTTGTCTAGTTTGTTGCACTTAACCTAAAATTTGTAGGGCTTCGCTGGCAAGTGGCTGCTTGGAAGCAGGTTTTTGTAATTCAGTTGCTGCCTGGTATTTCATCGTATTACGCAAAAGTTTTCGGCATTGTGATGAAGTTCATTGGATTTGTGCTGATTTTGTCCGCAGTGGTCGCAATAGCGAATGCGCTCAGCTTTACTGTAACATCCCGGATCTATATGGATGTAAAGCAGAAGAAGCAGCCACTGGGCCGCATCACGTTTGGCCTGTTTGGAAAGATTGCGCCAAAGGCGGTGGCCAACTTTCGACACATTTGCTTGCGTGGCATTAATGGCACCAGCTATGTGGGCGCACCATTTCATCGGATTGTGGATCGGTTTCTGGTGCAGGGTGGCGATATAATTGGTGGTGATGGCACCGGCTCGATCAGCATCTATGGCGACTATTTTGAGGATGAGGAGAAGGGTCTGAGCATTGAGCACAATCGTCCTGGCTATCTGGGCATGGCGAATCGTGGCCCAAACACAAATGGCTGTCAGTTCTATGTGACAACTGTGGGTGCCAAGTGGCTGGATGGCAAACATACCGTCTTTGGCAAGGTGATGGATGGCATGGATACCGTATATGCCATAGAAGATGTGAGTTCCAATGGGAATATTATTGTTGCATAGATAGACTATATCTATTGTTATTGGTACAGGTGAAAACCGATACGGATGACTTTCCCATCGATCCCGTGCTGATAACAAATTGTGGTGAGCTGCCAACGGAACCATTTGAGTTTTATCCCGATGATTATAATATACTGGGCTGGATTAAGGCAGCGGGTTTGCCAGTAACTAGTTCGTTTTTAGTTCTACTCATCTTCCACTATTTTTTCCGTCAACTTAATATGTACTGCTGACCAATGATTTCAATTTCTCATTGCTTTATTCATGCACATATACATTAATTATTATATAATCACATTAATATCGTTAAATAAAATGAGTGTCTATAACTATCGAGTCGTTTAAGCCTTGATCACTCCACGGATAAGAACGGGCAGTGTTGGTCCCATATGCAGCTGGAATGGAATGGAAATAGAGTATATAGAATAGAGTATACGATATATATACTCTAAATCCTTATGACTTACATCGATATATATATAGTCAACTATGCGTTGATCGCGCACGTAGTATTTGGAGTCGGGCTTAAGGAATCCAACCAAGCGCAGCTCGATGTCAGAGAAATTGGAATGATGTGATGTAAAGATTTTGGCCAGCGTAAAGTGATGTTTGTGATCCGGATAAACGGAATAATTCAAACTATTGTAGTACTCCTCAATCATACGACGATCCTTATCGGTGATCGCACGCTGATGTCTAATGAAATCATCAAAATCAAAGGAGTGAGCATGCTTCAACTTCGGATCGTTATCCTCATCGAGTAAACGTTCCCACATATTCCGATAGCCCTTGTTGAAGAACTCCGGTTCGGTGCACTTCTCAGCCCAGTAAGTGAACTTCATGTCGGGACTGTAAATGGGGAGATAATATAAACTTTGGGGCTTAGGTGGAGTACTCACTGATTCTCGACATTAAAGTCGACAAAGAGTCCTGGAATACGAACAGCAGTGCGGGCAGCAGCTATTAGTTTTCCGGGTCCAAAGAAATGCAAACGCATTTCAAACCGCCGTATTGTATTACGGGTCAGTGGACCCAAGTCTAAAATATATCCGAGTTGTTCACAGGGTAGAGGCTGTACAGTGAAATGCTTGACAAGAACGGGCAGCTTGTAGCCTTGAGACTTATTCAGATTCACATAGTTCTGATAAACCTTTTGATGTGTGTTGTAGAGATCAGGATTGTTGGTCAGACGCTCTAAATAGCGCTCCGTGACTAGCATCTGGTTGAGTACAGTTGCATTGGGCATCTCCTGATTGTTATTGACCAGCACATAGGTCTTGGTCATCTTGAAGAACTGTATGTCATGGTAGCGCTGTCTATCACTGGACATATCATCCTCACTTTCGGATAGCTCACTGAAATCACTGGTCACCTGTTGCTCCTGTACGCCCTCCTCTTCGTTCGCTGCTAGCTCGGAATCGCACTCTGTGATGCTCTTGAATGTCTCATAGTTGTAGATTTTACGCATGAATGTGTACTCCTCCATGATCTCGGTCATGCTCTGCTCCACCTTGGGCAGGGGCGTCGTTATATTCAATATGGGCAATATACCCTGCCCACGCAGACGAAAACTGCTGTAGGCACTGTCATTAATGAACACAGTGAATCTACGCAGGAAATTCTCGTTGAATCCCAGTATTCCAGAGACTTTAATCTTTTCAGTGGCCCAAGGATCCAAAAAGAGTGCATTATCCTGCATGAGTTTGGCATAGCCATCAATTAGTCGCATATCCTTCGGCTCAGTTCCATGGATTATCAACTGTAGTGGATACCTTGTCACATTCGAGATGCGTACAACTGTGTTGAATGTCTCATACCAGGGCTAAAATAGAGATGCGAGGTGACAAAATACTTCAGTCAATTTATAGATCAATTTAATCCGAATACTCACCCTAATGTTGACGTAAATGTTGTCCTTTTGGAATTTAATTTTCTGCATCAAATTGACAAGAGTTACCGCCAAATACTGACTACGTCCACCAATCACGTCCAACTGAAACAGAGACTTCACCTCATAAGATTGTCGCACGTGAGGCAGATGGAGCAGACAATTCTGATCCTGTAGTTCGTCTAGCTGTCCCGTCTTCTCGTAAAAGTAAATGAAACGATCGGAGAAACAGTATTCGGAGGAGGGTTCAGATAGCTGCTGGCTGGACTCAATGTTCAGTCTGTTCAATATATAGTCGATCGTGTGATGAACATAGCTGGAATCACTGTAACGATCGGTGTCCTCCAGAGATATCGGCATATCGTCCATCCTTATTAAGAAGCGACGTTTGGCCAGATCGAGATCATTAATGATCTCGTCGATGATATCGAGTATTACGCTGCCATTCTCCTGTTCCTTGCGGAACTGACAGCGGCATTCCTGATAACGTAGCGTTAAGTTCGTTTCATCCTCGCAAGTGAAATTGTATTCTAACGTGCGCAGGATCTGTGAGAGGATATCGGCAACCAAATCAGGTGTATCCTCGGTGCCAATGAAAGTCCGTGATTCTTCGATGCGTCTCCACTTGAAATTAGCTGCGGTGCAACCATGATTAACAAGAGCCACATTCATATTGTAGGGATAGCCACGATCGAACAGCACCAGTTCCGGTTGAAGGATATGAATTTCAGGCACTTTAACGGTTAGCTGTAGTTTGAGACATTTTTGCGTTGTACTCAGAGCGGTGACATTAATGCGTCCCTCAATAAGTTTGCAGGAGTGTTGCTTCATTGTGGATTTATTCAAATTGACAAATATCTCCTTCTGCTCGAGTGCAGTCATATCAACATGAATTTGCTTCTCGAAAGTATGTTCGTAGAGCTCTTTAATGCGAAATGGACCCACAACTTCGAGTAATACCTCTTGAATGGGTGAATTATGTGGATTGATTAGTTGGGCCCGTCGCATTTGTGGACGCTCCTTGAGCGGATCCTTGGGTTCGAAATGGAAAGTTAGCTGTTTGCGATCCCAGACCAGCTGACATTCAGTAAATTTGGCCTTTACTGTAAATCTTATCATTTGTTTGCGTTTCGGATACTTCAAGTCCGTGACAATCATCAAGAAGTCACAGAAGAAGACACCCTCCTCATAGCTGGTCACAAGAATCTCCAGCGTTTGTTCTCCCTGCGACGGCACCTCCAATAATTTGGGTGTAATATCGAAACGCGCCGTGAGTGGTTGGAACACACAGGAACTCGCTTTCAGGGAAGGATTGTAAGTGTTGAGGCGCGAGATGTTGAGACGATAGTTTCGAAATCCTCGGTTTACTACCCTTACCGGGAAGCTATATTTGAAGATATGTGCAGTGAAATGTTCTTTTGTATCCACGAAAAGCTGGCCCGCATCGAAGCCCTCTCTAATGTTTGGCTCGAAGTAGAGCGGCACTCCCTCAACCAAAAATTCAATGGGTATTTCCATCACTTTGTTATACTGCAGATCTATATAAAGAGTGTTATGAAATACGCCCGGATCGGGAAACAAGGACACAAGGGTCGTGTACATGCTCTGCCCGGTTGGTGATAATTTACCGCCCCTCGTTGTCAGATACTGAAATTCGATGTCTTTCTGGGGGAATATAATTGCAATTTAATTATCATGAAAAGAGCCAAACTCTAAATTATATTTTTTCCTATTTTAATCAAAACAATTTAGAGTATTATTATATACTTACCAATTTCATAGAAAGCAACGTTTTTGTTGGCGAACAATTGTCAATATAAAAATGTAATTTGTTCGGTTCATAGACCTGTATACGGATGTGGACTGATTTTGGTGTAATGCATATTTCCGAGGGCAAAACATTCGCAAGCAAATGAAATGGATAAGGATGTGGATCACCGACGATTCTCAACAGACCTGAGACTTTACTTCTCCCCAGGTCACGGAACGCGACCACGCATTTGGCAACCACTTTGGAGTTGCCTGCAATATAGAATTTCCAGATGTTATCGCGAAATGACATTTCATTTGGCTGTAATGATGATAATTAGAGTTAATTGAATACTATTTTCAATAGTAAAATAAACAATAATAAAATCCAACTTACAATAACATCAAAGTGTATAAATCCAGCAACATAGGATTTATTGTCAAAACCCACTTCAAATTCATATTCCTCACCCGCAAAGGTAATGCGATCGGTCAGATCGACATAGTTAATCCAGTCGATCTCAGGAGTGCAGCAATTATATTCGTACCACAGCTTTGAGCAAAGGAAATGCGACTCAATCAGGGTCTTGGTTTCCGAAGCTTCACTGCATTCAGAACTACCTTGTGGTATTACCGGACATACACGCACCGTTAGCGATCGATGATAGTAGCCCACTCGATTTGGTATTATTAATATGGATATGCTGCGACCCGTATTGGGTCTCAGATTGATAATCTCAGTATCGCAATATATTTCTTTGGGATCACTTGGTACTGCATTCCAGTCCAGGAAAATGAAATTGTCATGCTTTTTCATAATGCTAAAGTACTGCATGTTCAACAGACTTCTTAAGGCCTCCTGAATAACACGCTTTTCCGTTTCCGATTTATCAAATATCTTCTGCGTCTTTAGGTTCTGCAGCAGATAATTAGTCATTCCAGAAATTGGTTCTGTTGAGATGAGCAGAATTGTTAGTAGGAAAATGTTCCTTTGCAAGATATAGCCATAAAGTAAATCACAATAAAAAGCAAATTAGTTACCTAAGACGTTCTCTTCAAATTGAACGCTATATTCGGAATCGTTAACTGAAACTGAGTGCACAGATAGTAAATCATCTTGGCTGCCGTTAAACTCAATATTTTGATCTATTTCCGTGTTATCGCAAAGGTCGATATAAGTTTCTTGCATATGCTTGATGGGATCTCTAATCGTTATGGGCAGCATTTCGATTGGGTCGCGTATATTGAAGACCAAAGGTTGTTCCGCGCCATCATCGTTGACAGTCACTTGCAGAGTAATGGGCACGGACAGCGGATTCATTAGGAGCATAAAACGTTTCTGGGGAACAGCGAAAGGAATGCTGCCAAATTCCACAAGTTCCGGAAATGTGCGCAGCTGAATATGTTGGCCAGTGCCCCTAAAATGAGTTAAGTGATGTATGAGACTCTATACTGGGGAAAAAGGGCCATTATAAAATGACAAATGATTCTATAAATGGAACGCTAAATGTGCCAAGATGAAAACAGAAGTGAAGCTGAAGATAAATAACCAATATTTTAAGAAAATGCTTACTTAATCTGTACATTATGAATCAATCCGTTGATCACCTTAAAGCGCAAGTTGACCAGAAAATGTGATGTTTTAAGGGTAAAGAAGGATACATTGAAAATGCCACGTTCGCAGGGCTTCAGAGCGAAGCCATCGACGGGGGTTATGCGCAAACCACAGGTTTCCTCATCCAAACACTCATCAAACTTGACCTTGGCGACCACAACTGAATTGTTAGACATTATTTAAGGGGTTTCCGTTGAACTGCCAGCTTACCGACCATCCACATTTAAGACCTTAATGAAGGCGCAGTGCTCCTCGCCCACATAGATATTACGCATGTCGATTGTCTTGGGAAAGAACTCCACATCGATGCCAGCAATCAGTCCGTCAACAACAATAAAATGAGAGTCGACACAATCGTTGTTATCGGTGAAGCACAATGAGATTTTCGTACATTGAAAGAATGGCGGAATGGCCTCGTCGGGAAATGTCGTCAACAAGTTAGGCCGAAATGCCAAGACAGTCTGATAGGACTCCAATGGATGGATCTTTGTGGGTGCATCCAATTGAAAATGTGTAGCAGCTGCAGCACTATAAGAAATACGTTCATTGTCATCATCTTCAAAGTCGAATAATAGAGCACTATGCATGCTGATGGAGTCAGACTCATTTGATATGCTCTCTATTGACGTGACTGGCGAGTCGGCGTAGAACTCAGTGCTCAAGTGGAGGGTATATGGTGACTCGTTGCATATGGTTATCGTTCGACTGATTTCCTCACCAAATTTGGCCATATCATAGGATATGTAACCAGTACTTATGTAAGCAGCCATCGACTTTGGTACATAATCAAAGATCACGAGCTTGGAGGGACCTGTTACTGGATTCGTATTAAGTCACCGATTTGCTTAATTCTTTGATACATACTAATTCCAAATTTTAAATTAAAGAATCCTTTGTATTCCTGCAGCTTATACGGTATGAACTTGATAAATAACTTGTAATAGGCTTGCGGAACCATTACGTTCTTGTTAAAATCAACTATTTTGAGTCCCTTAAAGCTACTGCAATTGCCAAAGAGAAGAAAATCGTTTTAAATGCCTTGCGTAAATGAGGGAATGGCCTTACTTTCTACTCTTAATACCAATAGGTTCCTTGGTTGGATTGTACAGGATCATTTCATAATAAGAACTGTCCTGTGGCACGGTGGAGGGCAGCGTAATATGTTCAGAAAATGACGGCTCAGTCATGTTCTTAGTTACTGTGAGAGGATGTTTAGAGACACACAATAATGTTGTAATTAAGAGTGGTCGACTAGGAGACATTCTGAATCGTATAATATCAATCATATCTTTTTGGGATATTCTAATGCTGTTAGAAATGGATATTGATCGAAAATTGTATGTATCGATATCGATATTAAACAATTCGGTGAAGTGCAAAGCACTTATACATTAAATTTAACGTTTTTAGCATTTAATCCGACTGACTGCTCTACTTAACTGTTAATGATTCATTATGAATCGAATTGTTAATGTCTCCTATTATGTAAAACAACTAAATCACTTTCTAGGCATTTATATCTTCAATTATACTATGTATCTCTTACCAATTATAGGCACTTGAAAGGTAATGTTCGGATGAAAGGAGTGAACGAATAAGTGACGTCGCCGATTAATAGATTTGTTTGTGGAATTGCGTATTTTGATTTTCACACTGAGCTCCTTGTCTGTTTCAATATAGCGATTTAATTCTGGTTTTGGTATCACGATTGAAGTATCGCTGGGACTGTCCGTAGTAAGTTTGATCATACGAGGATACTGATATAGGAAAACTATCTGCTATTAGAAAGTACTACAATTTAAAGCAATAAATACCAGTCCATTGTTTCGAATTTTTAGCGTTATGTCATAAGTTGACCTTGGTTTAAAAGGTGCTCGATATATTATCAAACGTGGCGTAATGTGCAGTGATTCCACCAAATTGGCATAATCAGATAAATCTATAAATGGAGCAATGAATTAAAAACATCTGATCAGGGTAAGTATTTCAGTGCTAGCTCACATTCTTTGGCAATGCAGCAGCCGTAGGCTCTCGAGTGTGTGCTGCGAAAGGAAGCCGCAGGTCCTTTGGGCTCGGATTCCTGATCGCTTTGCTCTTCAGCTTCATCGAGTTCGTTTGAGTTATCGAAGCGGATGTCCTTTGATGAATATGCAATACGTGAACCATCCATTTCCTAGCTATTTTTTTATTTATTTATCATTTGTTTAGAAAAGCTAAGCCAATTTTTATTTGTGTATATTGGCTTGTCACTCGTTTTTATTATGTGTATTGTGTTTTTTACGTTTTATAAAAATCTGAGAGCTATTTTTGAAGATTAGCTGACAAAGTTGCTTCTCGTCCGCTTTCTGGATGCGATGAGGATTTTCAAAGAATACGGGAATTGTGTATCTGAAGTATTTTCTTTATTTTTTTTTCGGGTACAGAGCATGTGATTACGTCACAGTCACACCCGTAAAACAAACAGTAAACATACACACTAATATATACGCCGATTTTGGCAGAGCGAAATACAATTTTATATTACGTATACGCCCCGTTGTTGTTTTGGGAAAACAATTTCAATTTGGCAAAACTCAACGCAGCGTGTGACCGACAAAATGCCGAACGTATTTTGGGGGCAGGCAAAAGACAGTCTGAGCCTGGCTAAGGAATGGGTGGCAGGGAGCCAAGCAAGGATGCCAAAGAAGCCGCAATACAACGAATGCAATCTCAGAGCAGCTGACAATGCACACAACAAAGTCGTTGGCAGTCTTATTTATTTGTTGGTCCGGTTCCGTTTGTGTTGATCTGCTCTTTTCTGCATTTGGCAAAAGCCGAAATGTCCTTTTGTGCAAAATTAATGATATGGGCTGTACGGTCGACGGTCGACGGTCGACGTGCGGTTTACGGTTTAGGTTCGACTGGCCTCGTCTATTGTCATTTTTATTGTCAACGGACCAAGGCAAGTAAAAAATTGGCCTAAAAACCAATGCAACCGCAAAGCGAACAAAGAAAATTGAAAGCAACTAAAGGACCAAAAGCATGTGCACAGAGATGCCAAACTATTTTGCATGTGTTTCCAAACCAAATCCCAACCCACATCCCAGTGGGCGTGTTTGGGCTCTCATGTGCTCTTGTCCTTCGCACTCGTCCTGTGTGTTTATTATCGCCGACGAAGCGCTTATAAATCACGCCACTTCAGCAGCAGCGCCAGGATTCTCACGTAGTTCGGGTACACAGAGAGACACGGCAACACAGATAATGGCAGCCCACTGTCCGCAAGTGTCAGCAGCGGTCTGCAAAAGGGGCGGGGCGGGGCGGCTGTGAAGGCGTCGTAACAAGATACCCGAATATTGTACAGTTTTTCAATACAAGCGAAAATACCTCCCATCTACATCCTATAAAATAGAAAAGCAAAAAGATTCAACTTTAATCGTTGTCCCTTTAATATACTACACTTTTTAATTAGATTCCAGCTGTCAAGCTAAAATTATTTATACACATTTACAGTCAAGCGTCAACTTTAAGCTTTTATAGGCAGCAATTCAAACGATTTTTTCTTTGTGTTTGTGTTTTTTTTGTTGTTGTATATTTAAATTCTATATTCTCTTATTAAGTGGTAATTTATGCGTCCCAAATTGGCGCCATCAGCAGTGGTTGTCAATTGAATGTCATCATTATAACAAGGAAGCAAACACACAACCCCTTCAAGAGCTGACATCCCTTACTACATTATTATTGTGGAACGGATGTGAATGACACTAAGAATGAAAGCGGCCAAGTTTTATGCGAGTCCTTTAACAGTTTGGTTTTTATGATTTCGCAAACTGTTTGACCAGCTCTAAAGTTCTTGAGTGCTCGAAAAATAGAGATGATATCAGGCAAGAGACTGACTGGCTAACTATATAGTTGCTGCTGGCATAGCCAAGGTAAGTTCTATGCCACAAAAAAAACAACAAAAGGAAAAGAAAAAAGGCAGCCAGAGAAGTGAGTGGTTTTTATTTGTCCGGCTTATGTGGTCCTTACGACTGTAAAGTGGCAATTCTTTAACAATTTATGTTGGCCAAACCAAAGTCGAGTGTGTCGAGTGTTGCCGGCAACAGCTGACGCCAACTGAGCTACTGCTGCCCAACTCTTACCCAGCTTCAACCCCATCGCGCTTGGCGCTGTTGAAGGGTTCGTTATTCTTGTTTTTTATTTCTTGTTTGGTCCGTCGGCTGTGAAATTTTCGTGAATTTATGAGCACTTGAGAGCAGGCGCCATCGCCATTGCCATTGCGATGCCAGCGGCTGCGTTTGTCCTCAACGACAGCCTCGTCCTCGCGACTTTGTTGGCCTAATATAAATTTCAACTTTAACAACAACTGTGCTCTCACTCGTGGCTCGCTGTCCGCTTGGCCAACGCCTGGCAACGTTATAGTGTGACTTCATTTTTTGTTTGTAGTTTTTTTGGTACTTGTTTTTAATACCCTTGCTGGGAAAATTATAATTTTTAGAATAAAATACGAAAGATATTAATATTAATTAATAATATTGTACCCATTAATTTTACTTATTGGCAATTTTTGTGTCTTTCGAATTGTCTTAACCAAACTCACAAGTTATGAGTGTTTACTTTTGTCAAAAAATGATTAACATCCGACAGATTTATCATACAGCTCCAATAGCAAACAACTCTATAAGGGTAGCTTAGCTCCGGTGTGCCACAGATAGATGTTATTTCTTGCTTATTTTGTTGTATTTTTCTAAGTGCAGGCAGCAGCGCAATAAAACGCTCTGTAAATGCTTTGAAAGGATTGCGGGCAAACAGTCTGTGCTCGTAAATCGTAGAGGAACCCCTCTTCACCGTTGCATAAAAATTAGTTTACGTGGCACATAATTTTACATTAATTTCATTTCAAATGACCCCAGTTCCACTGAAATACTAGATACCAAGTACTCATATGGATGTACATAAATATGCGAGTGTCATACACATATACACACACACACACACACTCGCAGGCACACTTGAACAGGGCCATGCACTAAGTGAGCCTTGCCAAAAACAACTTTGCCACATTTTAAAGTATCTGTCACATAAAATACACACAGACTGCTTCCCTCAGTGGGGGAGTATGATACTACAAATGCAACAAAATATGTTGTTTTTCTGCTGCACATGGGAAAACAGTCAGGCAAAAAAAAAAAAAATGAAAAACACAGCAGCAAACACAAAATGCTTATAAAATGATAAGTTGCGCTGCAACAAGATGATCAACATCGACGCTGACGTTGAGCTTGATGTCGATGCAGATGACGACGCTAAAATGTGGCAGTGAAGTCAAGTGAAATGTACGAGCAACTGCAGTTTCTACAACACTATCAACAAAACAAAAGAATATATATAAATGAGAATACTATTGAGAAGCTTGCTCGACTAGAAATTACCATGTATTTAACGGAACAAATACAGATACTCTGCGGGCAAAGGTTTTCAACAGAGGCGGTCTGTGTAAGAACATATTTTTTTAATGCCACATTTGTTGCCAAAATAGATAATTGGTCGATTGGAGAATTTAAATAAGCTTATTTAATATATGGTATCCAAAGCTGTTTTACAAAATTTGTTGTCTTTAGTTTAAAATTTAATTGAAAAAGATATTTTTACCATCATTGGAGGGAGCAGAAATTTGTTCCCCAATTCTTTAATAGCTTTAAGTATGTTAAGTATTAAAAAATCAACTCTCCAAAAGCCGTGTCTCCAGATCTTTCTGAGTTCAACCGGATTGCTCTGCTTCTGCTGCGGCTGCAATAAACACATTCATAACTTCATTGTTCCTTAATTTATTCATTTTTAAAGTGTACAGGGTATATTAAAAAATAAAAAAAATGAAACAGATGCACAAACATTGCCAACGTCAGCGTCGATGTGCTGAGGAAATATTTTGTGTGAAATTATTGCGGCGGCAGCAGAGGGAATTGGAATAGCAGCGAGTAAATGAGCGTCGTAAAAACCACAACAAAACAAGTTGCAGCAGCATCGAATAAGGAAATAATAGTTGACGTTGCATAAATGCGGGGTGTGGCGGGTTGTTGGCGCAGTCGACAAATACTCTAGGGTGGCGCACATCGAGTATACGTAATATATTTGTAATGTAATGCGAGGTAAGACCAACAGCAACCAGCAAAGCAATTAGTGGGACAAATTACTTCGACCGCAGAGTCCCAAAAATCAAATGGCACAAAAGAGCTCTCTCTCTCTCTCTATTTCTCGTGCTCTCTCTGTTCCTCTATATTGAGCAATGCCCACTCGATGTTAGTTAATATGAATGAAAACTCATTAAAAATTTTCAACTGATTGACTGCACAATTTTCAATGATATTTTCTCTGACATTGTGCAGCAAATGGGACATGTGTTGCAAGCGATGCATGCGTCAAGCGGTCATCCAACAAAATGGCAAAAGAAGAACCCCAACTCAAACCCCAGACCCCAAAAACAGAAACAGTTTCAGATCCCAGTCGAGCCCACTGACCATACAATTTATGCTAATGCTCGTTAGTGAAATCAAACAGCTACAGAAGCAGCAGCAGCAGCAGTAGCAGCAGCAGCAGTGCAACAATTATGTAAACAACAGGGCCGTAAAGCAAACTACGTGAACAAGCGTCAGACCGTCTAACAGACTGACAGGCTATTGAATGGACAGTTGTTGGGCAGACAGACAGACAGGCAGACGCACAAAAACAGTACATGAATGCTGAACTGTGGGGCAATTACAAACGTAAAGTGTGGATTATAAATGCATAAAACATGACTTTAACATTTAATACTTTGAAAACAAATACCTTTAAAATCTGATTTGATTGCAAAATTATTAAAAATAATTAAATTTTAAGGATATTGGCGTTAATCTAGAACATTTTCAGAAGCTTTCTTAGACTGCACATAAGCAAGAAATTTGTCAGAGTTTCATTTAGTCCACTGTGTTCTTGATTCGGTTGGTCAAAATATATTGACGCATACATTGGCAGTAACAATTAATCTGCTAATTGCCAATTTAAGCACGTAAACCAAACAATGGCGGCTGCATCCACAACAGCATCAGCAAGGACAACGACTGCGCATCAGATGACGTGCGAGTTTGGGGGTTTGGAGGCTGTTGTGGGTTTTGGGATACTGACAGTTATGGGCTACCAAACGGTTTGAAAAGTGAACGTGTGGCAACAATTGGTGCAAATGCAACAACTGCAACTGCAACTGCAACTGAGTCATGCACAGGACATTCGAGTACTTCTGCGTAATGGAAGCTAATGAAAGTCAACACAAGGAAGCAGCCTGATGCAATCACAGCCGGCACCAAGTGCATATGAATAATCAGCACTCTCGTAAATACACAAATTGGGTTTTGTTGTTGACACGCCGATTTGTTTAACGGTTCAAGCACGTCTAAGACCCAATGCAAGCAACTCCGGAAGCAGAACTGGAACCCCTCATTCGAAGTCGCACAATCAATGACTAATGAACCCTTGATATTATTTCCTTCATTTTTTACATTGAGTTCAGTGCACATTTTTTTATTTTGCGATAGTGGAAACTTTCATCTTGGTTTTGGCCTTTGAGGCGTCACGAACTAAGTAAGTGCGCTACATTGTTTGAGAAGTTAGGTGCGAGTTTTTCAATTTGATTTTATTTTTAAATCTTTCTGTTTTGGCAATGGCAGCTATTAACAACAATTGCCAAAGCTCATTAAATTTAAGCAACGTCAAATGGGCAAGCAAAAAGTAAACCTTGAAATCCTTTTGCTGTACATACTCTGTTTTGCTAAAGGAAATGCTGTTGTATAGAATTTTTCTTAGAGGTATTTAAATTGATATTATATCTTCTAATGATATCTTTCAAAAATGAGTTCATAAATATTCTGTTGGTAGCAAAAAGAAATGTTCACACTAGAGTAAAAACTATTTGTATGCTGGAAGTAAACTGAAATTGTTGTTGAACATCTGCCAAAGTTAAGAGCAAAGTAAAGTATAAAGTATCTTGCAGCTGGAAGTTGACCATCTTCAAGAAACTCTTAACTGTTTACTCTTGCCTTTTGGCAGCAATTGAAACACAAAGGGCATCGTTGTCAACTCCGTCGACGTCATTTACCACATTCAAAATGCCATTAAAAGCATACTAAAATTAATTTGTAGCAATTAGTTGCAAATTGCAAGGAAGCGAAATGAAAATGAGAAACAAAGCAAAGCAAACGAAGCAAAAGGACCGCAGCAGAGCGGAGAAATTGCTCAACATTTTTATGTGTTTTTGCGCATTTAGAAAACTGTCTATAGAATTGCTGGGCAAAATCATAAAAACTGGAGTAACCAAAAGGACCTCATCCACCACGTAGGGAGTGAACCAGAAGGAGACGGTGGAGCAGAGGGAGGCGCAGCCAGCGAGTGTAGTCAAGCATAAATAAATGCTGTGTTATTTTTGGCAATTATTTTCACATTCGAGTGTCTGTCCTCCAATGGAGCTCATTTGTAATTTGCAGCCGGGAAAAACGCTCGCATTGTGTTCAGCTGTTGCCGTTACTCTCTAATATCCTGTAACCATTTAAAATTGGCTATAAGTGGGTATAATCAGTTGTTTGAGATATAAGCAAGAGTCAAGGGACTCAACCTAAAGAGTATATTATTATTTTTTTAAATTATATAATACGAAGAAGGAATAGTGTATATGAAGTTGAGCATTTTCTGCTTTATGGAAAAATGCAAATTTATTTGAAATAATCTTCGTTGTGAGAGTATGGTTATATCTAGATCCAGATACAGGATATCTGCTAGTATAGCACTGACCAGAGCCTTCTCATTTGCTTTTATTGTTTGCTGTTATGTGACTGACACCATTAATTAGCCTCCTTGTCGGCCTCAGTCAGCGCCAGCGAGCGATAGACATCTTGGAGCCAGCATTTGTCTTGGTTATGTGAATGGGAATGGGAATGGAAATGGGATGTAGTTCTGGGGTTATGGAGTATATTCATGCGTGGATATGCTAACGGTTAGGTGGCGTATGACACATGTTGTCAGCGTGCTCATCTTTCTTTCTTTCTGGTTGCTGGCGATGCTGCTGTTCCGACTATTTTCTCCGCTAATTGGAAAATGTCACAATTTATTTTATTTTTATGTTTAATTGGATTCTGCTTTGGGGAAAGTTGCTGCGTTGCTCGATGGCTTGGAGGACAAAAACACATTCTCGTCGCCTAGGTGCGATGCATGATAATTTTCTTAATTTGCGCTCCCTGATGAGCTAAAGCTGAGATAGAAACATGTGTGCGAATGAGATGGCACAAAATAAAAGAAAACGAAACTTTTTCCATTTTGCTGATGGCATGTGTACGTGTAAAAGTTCAACCACTACTAAGGATACCAGCTCAACAAGGACGACGAGCACTCTTCAAAGGTGCAAATAAAGTAAATTATTAGTTTCTGCTGCTTCTTCTTCTCCATCTCCTTCTCCTTCTGCTTCTTCTTCATCTTCTTCTTCTTGTTGAGTTGCTGATGCGAATGCTGCTTGCCGCTGCTACTTGTGGATTTCCGCTTCAATTATTGCCGCTGCTCGCATAAATTTCACTTGACAAACTTGTCTGATAGTTGCAGTCAGATGGAGACAGAGAGAGAGAGAGAGAGAGAGAGAGAGAGAGAGGGGGAGAGCGAGATAGAGAGTGAGAGATAGAGAGTGAGAGAGGATAAGCATCTGCTTGTTCGCATTGGCAAATTAAGAACTTCCGCCGTGTGCCAAATGTAATTCCCATTACTTCTATCAAAAACTTTGCCACCAACAAACCCCTCGCCCCCCATACCACCCCATCAAAAAAATTGTCGTATTTTACGTGCTCGCTGTTGCCATGTCTCAAAAGCAGTATAGAAAATATTCAATTACTTTGGCTTCCAGCATTTGCACTCATTCTCACTCCTGGCACTTTCTAAATCTTGAATTTCGAGCGAAAATCGTTTTCTCAAATTTGATTGTAGTATTATAATTAGGATCATCATCAAAAGGCATTTCTTGTGAAAAACAGTTCAGTTTTGCCAAAGTTATGGCAGTGAAAAGTTGACTTTGAAAAAAGCGCAGAAAAACGCTTTTGAACACATCTATTTACGCTCGGCTGCATATTACTTGAGATATTGAAACTACAGGATATTCCAACACTTATAAACGAATATAATTGTTAATTGTCAATTGATGTTTCAGTTTTTCTCACTGACTGCACTAGAAGGGCCTGGCTGCCTCGCAATGGCTGAGATTCAGCTGGATGCACATCAAGTTCTTTTGGTCAGTGCTTTTTGGGGCAACTGCCGCTGCCTGCAATGTGCTTCGCATTCAAGTTCTTCACATTGCAGAACATGCACTATGGCTCCTTATTGCAGTCCTTGACCGGGTGATTTTGTTCTCCGTATCGTGTGCAGAGTGCCCAAACTCAAGGTATTGCTAGGATGCTGCTGCCGTCAGACCAGGTTTCACCAAATTCGAATCGGGTTACAGTATTCATATCCCAAGACATAACTGAACTCTGTCTTAAGCATAACGGCTTACCCGAGGAAACCTGGCTTACTGCCCAAGGTCACGAGTTGCTTACACTACTCAGGACAATAGTCGAATTGGTCATTGCCATGTTAATGACGATGAAGATCTTTTCACCAACCAGAGGCACTCACCTGAGTAGTGTCAGCCCCGTGTGATATTATTGTGCGAGGGACAATTGTATATGCGAGTGTATGTGCGTGTGTATATATGTGTGTGTGTGTGTATTTTGCGAGTGTATCTGTCTCATAACCCAAAGGTGTTGTGCACGCGTATGTGTTGTATTATAGCAGCTCGAGCATAATTTCTAATTAACTTTTTGCTGGAAAGCGGCAAAGTCGTAAGCGAGCAGAGGGGCTGGGCATGAGTGTGATGGGTTGGAGTGGGTGGGGTGTGTTGTTTAGCAGATGGGAGAGAGTTAGCGCTGAGATCCCTTTAGCACGTCATCATAAAAATGTTTTGCCAACACATTTTCGTGAAGCCTCTTGGGTGAGAGAAGAGAAGGGGGGTGGGCTAACAAATGAAGTAAAGAAATATGTACGACAGAAATAACAACACCAACAACAACAACACCAACAACAACACCACAGCACACACAAAAGACCGAACTGAAAATGGTAATAAAAACAACAGCACCTGTAAACCTGTGCATTGTTTTTGTTACTGTTGCTGTTGCTCTTGTTTTTATGCGTTAAGTCATTAAAATGAAAATTTATTATGCGCCCCATATATATATAATACGTAAGCGACCCACTTGTGGGCGTGGCACGGCCTCGGCCTATGCGGCGTATACGTAACGCAACGCATATCTCATTAAGCTCATGTTGCCGCTTTTGCCGCTGTGGATGCTACCCAAGTCTGCCTAAATGAAGCCAATAAAGCTTTTTATCTTCAGACAGACGTGATTTATTTATATGCCTTAAGAAATTATACTTGAAGGCGCCTTTGATTTCAAACCAAAGCCATATCACATTGTACATACATACGTATATCAAATGAGGCAACAAAATAAAATAAAAAGCCAAGAAATAACAAGAATTTGTAGCTTGATAAAGGTCAAATATGCCCCTGCAGTTATGTATTTGAGATGTGTACTTTTATTTATATGATTTTTAGTTTTCTTAAATTGAAAGCTACGAGAAAATAAGGCTTAATTTTAAACGACTTACTTAAAATTTCTGACTAGAAACAATAAATTGAAAATAATATTTATTTCTTTAGCAGATTGTCTGCACTGAAGCACTGAATATTTAGTCTCAATAGTTGAAATTAGTTAGTACGATTATGATAACTTGATAAAGAATATAATTTTCATACTTCTGGCCTATACCATGCCAAGTGTAATCAATATTATTCACTGAGAGAATGGAAACGGCATTGCCTTATAAGATTAGTCAATTTTTGCTATAATGCCACATTTGTCCATATATAAACTAACACTGACTGAAGTCTAACATGCCATTAGCTTGCTTGTGTCACTTACTCGCCTCCACATGAATCCGTTGCAACGATTGTCTCTGCATTATTTGCATAAATTCTGTTGTTGCCATTTTCCAAGTTGTCATTTTTGCTTTTTGCACTCTTTTAGTTGGAGTTAAGAGTTTCTTGATTGTTGTAGTTGTTGTAGCTTTCGCATTCGAGTTTGTTTTGTGTTTGGGTTTTAGGAGCGATTTTACCATAGAGTTGCTATCTTAAATAAAGTGTGTCGTTGACACAAAGCCCAACATAAATCCATTATCCCTACTACGGACTCCGATGCAGCTTCCCTATACCACGGCTTTTACTGCCATTGTCACTTGGCCTGGCCTGCTGTGGCAACATGCCGAAAATATGAAAAAGATACACACACACACACACACAACTGCGACTCTGTGCGAAGCTAAATTAAAAATTTTGCACAACGCAAAAATCAGCGATAAAAATGGGGCAGCGAAAAATACAGAAAAAAAACACAACTTTCGGAACGAACAGTTCGCTGGGGAAATATAAGATTCACAGTCAATTTTCTTTTATGTGACAACTACTCACACCACTTTTACAGACATGCACAGAAGTCTACGCACACGTTCAAGTTTTTTATTTTTTATTTTTATAGCGCTAAGCATATTTTTACTTGGCATATGTTTTGTTTTTATTGTGTTCGAGCTTTTAAGTTGCGCAGTCAGCCTGGAATAGGAACGCTGTCAGGCTAGGTAAGTGTGTGTATTTTTAATACAGTTCTGGCCAAAAGTTTTACAACAGGCAGGCCAAAAATACAAAAATTACCATTCGGCTGTTATCAGCACACATCAAGAGTGTTTTGCTCGATGGCACTTTGGGGAGCAACTATGACCATATGTGTAAGCTACTGTGCATGTGTGTGTGTGTGTGCATGTGTGTGTGTGTGTGTGCGTATGACAATGACTAATAAAAGTGCTTTTCCTTTTACCCCGCAAAAGCAATATAATAGTCAAACAGCGGCGCTCGTGTAATATGCATACAATATTTTCATTTCGCCGCTTTATTTTTTTCACAGTTTTCATTTGTTATTGCAAAAACAACAATAAAGTCGACTATGTTTTGGGTTAACGAAGTTGCAATACCCTTTCAAAAGTTTATGATTTAGTAAACTGCTATTGACAATACTTATTACGAGATCATAATAAATAAATATATAGATATTTATCAATAGCTTTTATCCCAAAAGATAAACACAGATTTCCTATTCAAATATTTTTTTAAATTTAATTTTTGATAGATCTTAGCTGTATTTATGTTATTTAAATATTGCAAACAAATATTGTTACAAAAATAAGAATAATTAAAGTTAAGATAAAGTGAATCCAATCAGTCCAACTACAATTGTATGACATATGTCATGGCAGAATTAAAATACCCCCGCAAGGGTATGAAAAATAAATGCTGCTACGATGTTGTTATCTCACTTGTCTGTCGCTCCGTCGCTTGGTCGGTTTGTCGTACAAATATCCTATATAGCCGCTGGCAGGCACAACACACACACACACACACACATCCACATACACATACTGACAGCAAATAAACTGCTCATAAAGCAAAAAAAAAAAAAATAATAATAAAAAAAATTGGTAAAAACAACAATGGCAAAGGCGTAAGAGACCAGTTTGGGGAGTTGGGGCTGTGGCTGAGGGGTGTTGGAATTGGTGTAAGGAAAGAAACGGAATGAAAAGGAACATGAAGTGTGGGCATTGTGGGGCATGCGACTTAATCTCCATCTAAACGCAATGGAGTCGTAATAACAACGGAAAGCAAATAAAAATACAAGCATAGTCACACACATACAAACACATATTACACACACACACACACACACACACACACATACACACACACACACACACATGTGCAACCATATATATAGTTTACGTTTTGCCACTTCATTTTATACGCTATGTTTTTTTTTAGTTTACTTTTTGACTCATCTTTGTTATGTTTGTTCGTGTTGTTGTTGTTGTTGTTGCCTCTGCACTGCTCTGTTGTGGTTGCTGTTGTTGGCAGGAATCGTCGGGAAAATGCCCATTTTGTTTGTGTTTTGATACTCTGTTCCCTGTGGGCATATGAGCTTGTTGGCTTTTGTGTGTTGCTCGTCTGTTGTTGCAAGTTGTCAGCTGGTTTGGGTTTTATTTCTTCTTTCAAACGTAGATTTTGCTCACTTTCATCACGTGTATAATATTATAAGAGAATTTATAGGATTTCATTTGACTTTTGGAATTTATATTGCGGGAAAGCCCAGAAATTCTCAGAGCATGCTTAACTTTAAGAAACTTATCTTACTCCACAGGCTCAGAAATTCGCCGATGTTTTCCTTACTTTCTCTCTTACTATTTGTTTCTATGTATTTTTCTCCGACTTATTTGCGTTTTATTTTCCATATGATCAAGCTGTTTTGATCTGATTGGGTTTTTTCTGGGTTTACTCAATACTTGCAATTAGTGTTGGACAATAGTTTCAGGGTATTTTGCAGTCAGACATTCTCAATTACAAAAGAAAACTGTCAGAACAGTCGTCTATGGTAGAGGGTTCTATATGAGAATAGGACTCTAGTGGGCAATAGGTGAACATATATGTATGTATGTATGTATGAAGGTAGGTAGAGGTACCCTTGACTAAGAATGGGAGCATTGTTGCTTAGCTGATTAGCCCACTTGGGTGCTATTGGCGAGCTTCATTTGCTCCATGGACCTATGCCCTATGTCCTACAAAGATACTAAGGATACCACTGCGATTAAGTATGTACATACTACTTATACACACACACACACATACTTGGATGTGCGTGTGCAGTTGTGTGTATTTTATTTTTTCATTGCTAACTCACACTATCCTGTTTGTCCGCACCGCATGACCGCAAATATGAGCGTATTGGGGACAACAAAGGACTCAATATGCTGGTCATTTGTTGACTCCTGCCTTAGAATTCTACGGAGTCTTTGTGTGTTTGCTCCGGGCATATTGACTATAGCAATAGATAGTGTCAGAAGCAAGATATTTGAGATGAGTCCGGAATACAAAACTCGTTGTTATAATTCCTTAAAGATACTATCGAGCTTGCGTTCGTTTCTCCAACAATATATCTAAAGTCCTGAAAATAAAAACAAAAAATGTTTCAAGTTAGATTTATAAATATGTAAAGCAAAGAAATTTATTACGAAATTCTTTATGGTTTTGTTACAAAATCCAACTATTTGTAGTGTGTTAATGAGTCGCTTATAATTTAGATTGGTTTGGCTTGTTATATGTTTAGTGCTGGTCGACGGTTAGTCGACAGACAGTCAGTCGCACATTTGGTCACTGTCCTTTTCCCTTACAACCCCATCCCGTTGAACTTCAATTTTGTTTAATACGCTTCTCTTGGCCAACAATAATTTACCCATTACCTACGTTGATTAGCTCGTAAAATATGTTTGTTAGTCGACAATGGTTGAGTGCCAGAGCCAAAAAGGGACTGTTTTCAGGTCATTTAATTCAAAAGTCATATGCTGCCGTAATTGAATCCCAAATCACCCTCACAAGCAGGCAGCTTGAACAATGTAGCGCTACACTGAGCATTTCGACATAATTTAATTAACTTATGAGCTTACAAGTCAAAGTTGAAATCAGGCTTTCAACTGACCCACACACAAATGTTTTAAGGCTTTCCTGCGGTTCAAAAACAATAGCTGAAAAAAACATAATAAATTTTACTGAATGAATATTATTTGATACCCAATATTCATTGTAGCTATGCAAAAAAAATATATATATCAGCAATGAGCCATAGGAAACCACTTTGAGGTGATTTGTCTTTCACACTACAAAATTAATTTAAAATGAACAGAAAAGTTTTATACAGCAAATATACATATTAAAATTATGTATATCTGTATAGGGGGACACATAGGTAACAAAAAAGTGGTCTACAGGGATATATCTCAAGTCAACACATTGCAAGTCCAGTGGAAGATGATCTTTGTTGCTGTTGGCCTTCAGACTGAATTATTCCCATTTTTTTGTTTTTTTTTTGGGGTGCGCTACCTGTTGGGATGGTGAATATTTATGTATATTGTGGCCTCGACTAATGAGTGTAGCAAAGTGAAAACAGTAGACAACAAAGTGTCGTCAGGATGTGGCATAGACACTAGCTGATATAAATTGCATGACAGAGAGACAAAAGAGTGAGAGAGAAAGAGAGAGAGAGAGAGAGAGAGAGAGAGGGGAGCGAGTTTGTTGACATCATTGGCAACATCATGCCAGAGGGCGTCGCCATAGTCGCTGGAAGTGGCCAACACCCAGCAGCGTCTGCTGTTGCAGCTGCAGCAGCAGCTCCTGTTGTTTGCCGTTTCATTTTTTGCTAGCCACGAATAAATAAAGGACAGGATAAAAAAAAAAGAATGACCGACCAGCCGAGTCTGACGGCCACACGACACATTGCCAAACAAGCTGATAAAGTAAAGTGCAGCCTGCAACGTGTGTGTCTGTGTGTGTGTGTGTGTGCGATGTACGTGTGTGTGACGTATGCGACAAAGCACACGATTAAATTACAAAATGTCAATAACGATAACGAATGAAATTGATTGAAACGAGCAGCGACCACAATGGAGACTGCCTCCTTTTCAGACCGCGCCAAAAACTGAAGGGCGATAAATCATGTGTGTGGCTCCATTGTACGAGTGTGTGCTTGTGTGTGTGTGTCCGACACCTTATATATATATATACTGCGAAACTCACACAAATACACACACACACACACACACATAGAAAATGGCATGTCAATTATAATGCATGATGTTGAAATCATTCGCCATTAATTCATAATTAAAACGCGACACATTATCAAAAGTGTGCGCGATGAGCATTTACATAAAAAGCGAATGAATATTCATGAGTGTACCACCCATTCGTAATATACCCGTAGACATATATATTCATATATGTTTCTGTCAGCATTGTTGAGCCGGAGCGAACTGATGTCCCTTTTTAAATTGATGCTGCTTAATC